GCCAGCTTTTTTTCAGAATGGAGATCTCAAGAGCTCTGCCCCCCCCGCAGCCATCTCACCATCCCCAAAGAACCTTTATCTTGGGATTCTCTTTCCTCCCGATTTCTTCGCCGCCCTCGCCCTCGCCAACCAAATGGCGAGCACAGCATAGAAGAGGATACGGGAGATCAGTCCGCCTTCTTTCCTCTGTCTCTCTCTCTCTCTCTCTCTCCCTCTCCCACTGCTGTTCTCCTGGCTCTCCTTCACGAGCCTCTCTTATGTCACTCTGCCCGGAACAACACTAATATAATAATGAGAATAGCATTCAGTTCTCAACAGTAAATAGGATTTCATGGAGTCCAGCAATGCATGTAAAGTTCGGTTCTTCAGAGGACGGTGAGTTACCTCAGTGCTAAAAGATCTCGTTGAAGTTTTGTTTTTTTTTCTCGGAAAGAAAATTTATGTCTCCATCACAATATAATAAACCAATAATATATAGAGAAAACAGAAATAATCATTGCAGATCAAAGAAAAGGTTACACTCCTATGGGTTTTTGCAACTGCATTGCAGAAAGGTGGATTTAACTATGCAGGATATGGCTTTAGGAAAGGGATTTTGGGAAATCTGACATCAAAACAACTGTGGTCTCCACTTAAATTTGCAGACATAATGAAGTAGATTTTGCAGAGCTATAAGAAAATGAGGCATCTGAAGCAACATTTTGAGATGGCACCACCACCACATCATAAAGTATGCTAGCCATCTTCTCAAGAAGAAGTGAGAAGCACCTCAAGATCATTCAAGATGGCTCAAAACTGGCACTCCCAGTGGAAAAAATGAGCAATTAATTCCTCTCTCAGAATGATCCCAAACAGTTTTATGAGCAAACACAAAGGAGTAAAATTGAAAAACCACCTTCTATTTTCCAGAAAACAGAAAGGTTGGACTCGTCAATGAGTCCACATTTTTTGTGGCATGAGCTCATTTAATTAGCGCGCGCACACACCTCTTTAAGAGGTAGCACACGGTTCAACAATGGAGGTGGTGAGATGGGCACTCCCATGCTTCTTTAATGGAGGCGGTGCGAGCGCATTACCGCTCTTCTATCTAGACTAGTATCTGGTCTACCACCAAGGTTGACCTGAGAGGGCACCTGTGGGTCCCGGGTGCCACGGGATGGGTGGGTGAGGTGGGTAGTCGATCGGGGTCGGTGTAGGGACCGTTTCGTCTTCGTCGTGACGGGCGAGATATGAACGCGCGACGCCGATACGGCACCCGTTACGACAAACCGCGTCGGGCCGTGTCGGGGGCCCACCTTACGCCGCCGAAGCGTCTCCGTGGCGCTATAGTCACCCCGTGATCGGGTGTCTTTACCACGAAATGACTTGTTTACCCTAACACTATAAAAAAATTACGAGAAGGCCAGCCTGCCGCGGTGGCGATTCCGTGACGTGATTGGCCTCGTTTCGTGGGACTCAAGGACGTCACGGAAACCGCGTAAATTCCACCTCGGAGACGGTGGAATCCGTACCTTTCCCAAACAGCGCACACGAAATCTCGCGCATAAGCACCCATTCTTGACGTCATAAAGCGACACGAGACGTCATCATTGCCGTGTAGCGAGCCTGTTGTCTATGCCGCGATAGATAGCGAAAGTTGCAGGTCGGAGACTGTACCCTCGTGATCCTATACATCACATTCTCTCCTCAGCTCCCGTACACTCCCATGTATTTTGAAGAATAGAACACGTTATACTGCATCACTATTTGATTCTTCCGCTAAATTCGGTATGACGCTGAAGTTAAGTCTCTTCCATCGGAGATGTCATCCTTCCTTGTCCCGAGACAATAATGGAGGAGGAGGTTCCATGGCTTGTAGCTCTCCAAAGGCTGATATGTAGGAGAACAGACAAAGGACATATTACGCCCTCAGTCCCTTTCTCAAGGAAACAGCATGCATGTCATGGATTCCCTCGCCTACAACTTGGCTCTTTGGTCCCCTTAGTGTCCGTATATTTCCAAGAAAACCTACCGACACTTGGTCCACGAGCTTAATCTTCTTTCTCTAATGTAGCATCTGAAGGAAGGGGGGAGTAGATAATGAATCTGCATTAAGGTTTTACCATTCATCCTTAAGAATTATTCCAATAAGATTTTGGATCAGCCTTGCAACTCGAGGTGAGTATCGTAAGTATGATGATGGTCAACATCACATCACACTAGTGGAATGCATGAATGAGAGGCTATGGGGGGATGCATATCTTCTTTCTACACACTAAGTTGGCCAAATAATTAAGCATGATCATAGCAGTTACTACTCCAAAAGAACCAAGTATGATTTGAAGAGGGTGATTTAAGAAGGCAATAGTGGGGAGGTAGACTTCCACAGCAAACAGTGGGGTCACATCACTGGCTGGATTTGACACCATGGTCAATGTCAACAGTTGGGGCATTTCTTTGTATTAGAATGAGTTGTGGCATCCCCACTAGTGACATTTTGATCATTATGATTAAGATATGTTTGGCTTTGAGGCAAGTGACTGAGGACCCAATTGTTAGAAACAAGTATTTAATTAACTGTTCTTAGTATAGCACAATTATATTCATTTTCGAATGGTTTTGGAACATCAGCTTGTTGCCTTTGCTTGTATTATTATTGTCTAAATAATAGCCATGTCCTCACAAAAAAAATTATTTAAAATAACTAGAGAAATAAGAAATAGTGAGATTAATCTTTGTCAGACAATGTGAAATGATTAGGAGTAATGATGTGAGAAGATATAAAAGAGAAACCTTATGTATATGAATTGATTTCCCCCTTTGACATAACAACTTGTAGCCCATGAGTAGGGGAAAAAAGACACTTAAAAAGCAACCTATACTATGATTATAATCAAATACTATTCCCTTGGATCCTTGTGACACCAATCTGTATAGCTGTATGGTTATTATACATCTTAAGAAACTATACTACTTGAGGACAATGAATAGAGATATCCTACTAATTGATGATCCTATTTGTTTAAGGGGAAATCAGTAATCCAGAATAGTAGATAGCACTAAATCAAGAATAAATAGACTGTTGACATGTTAAAAGTGGTGTTAGTTTCTGTGATGGATACAGCATGAGCTCCATCTAGTGGAAGAGAAAGAGAATGAGTAGAGCTTTGGACATTGTCCATGGATAGGTGGGAATGTGGAAGATATTGTTTGGTGAAATAACAATTCATGTTGTTCAATCCAAGTCAAAGAAGCTGTGGTGAAATAACAACTCATGTTGTTCAATGCAAGTCAAAGATGCTATGTGAGCAGCCCTCCACAAAGAGATGGGGGTCACACAAATGGCAGGCTGCTTGGCTGTTGTTGTTGACTTGTGTTTTGTCTGTGAGGCAAAGTGCAGCCTACCCTAACAAGGATTTGTGTTAGGGAGGCACTTGTGATGTGGATTTCTTGCTGTGATATTTCTACTTGCATGAAGGATTTTGAGGCCACTTTCTTTAAATTTTATTAAGGTAATTGTTATCGTAATTATGACATGGGTAAAGAACTCATAGTACATCATGAGTTCAGTACCTATTTTATCTGTGGATCCAATAATATGTACTATCCATTTATCATAGAGAATACTATCATGTTGTTTTTCCTTACATGGTACAATAATATTGTCATGGACTTAAAGAAAAAGAATTTTCTCCTTTTATTTCTAATCCTGTTATAGTAATTTTAATGCTTTTACTGGACACTAAGAGACAAAAAAAAATATTTATCAGTTCTTGAGATATTATAATTAATATATATATATATATATATATATATATATATATATATGCATAATTTAAATTTAGAGAGATAAATATGAAAAACACTTATTTTGGAGGGATATATTTATTATAGATGTAGTTTTACCTAAGTTCAAATTGTGGATCAGAGGAATAAAAGATGAAGATTAATTTGTGAATATTTGATAGATTTTAGTAACTAATGCCAAAGAAATTTGATTAGATAAAGAGAAGTGGACCTGTGACAAGGACTGGTGTCACACCATTCCAGGCTGTTGGATAATGGTTAGGCTTGATGGGTACATCAATGCCACAGCCATAACTAATCAATGATTAAGATGACCCACTAATTCACCTGTTCTTTTAGTCCTCTTGCATGTCATATGATTTCCATTGAGATGTATTACCAGACTATGAAATTTTGTGTCCTCAAAATTGATGTCACAGCATGTTTTTTTTATTGTTTGTCCTCATTTTATTTCTCCTCATTGTTTTCTTTCTTTTCATGAAATGAGAGAGTTATGTTCCCCTTGTGATCTCTCTATTTTCATGTTTGGACTTGTGATTTGACTCTTAAAAGAGCAGATTTGTCAGGAAACTACTGCACAGTCCTATATTATATTAAACACCAGAATATGTTAACAGAGACCATTAGATCACATTTGACAGTTCCACATATCATATAAATTGACTCAGGAAGATGAAAAGATCATTGCAATTCCTACATTTTATTGTATATTACACACTCAAAGCAAACTGCAGGAAGAAGATGTGGAGGATACACACAGACATGAACAGTTCTGTGAGAGATTTTAGAACGAAAGCATGGTAATTACATAATATGCAATCATGCAAAAGCCAATTGAGGTGTTCAAGATTCCATACGTAGCGATCTCAACTTCCTACAGGAATCCCCTTCGGTTTGGAAGGGTTTGCAGGCATGAACAGTTCATGAATAGGTATTGTCATTTAAGAGAGAGGAGCCAAAACAAGGACAAGTCGACCTTGGAACGCACAGCCCAGTAATGATGGACTGTTCTGCCGTCTCACCTATGGAGATTCTGCTGCATCCCTACCAAAGCAGACAGCCGTCGATACCGTGAGCTACTCTACTCGTGGGAGGAAATTACCTATGCAGTAAATTCCTGGACACCAAGAAATTTGACTTCTAATGGTTTGTTTGAGTTGAACTCGATGCACAAGCGACTGCTGGGCACTTCTTCATGCCGAACAGAATCAGAGTACATCAAGTAGATGTTAATTCCAGCATTTGAAAGGAATGCATGGATAAGAATGTTCATAAAGCTATCCAGAATATAGGACAGGCCAATCGGAAATGAAATAAAAGTGTTACATTAACATTCTTCCGACTTGGAACTTCAATCAACTGCCCCACATAATATTGGACTATTGGTAAATATGAACAGGTAACCATGAGCCGGGTTTGGCAATGGAAGTAACCGGCTGAAATTGACGAAGAAATCAGACAGATTCATCTAGCCAGAAGCAACAAGAGCATTTTGAAGTAACAATTTAAGGTCCTCAAGCCTGCAACCACCGAAAAGCTTCACACAGCCGAATCCTAAAGAAATTGCATTCACAAACAACACAGGCACATACCTCACATTACTCAAATCCGGGTACGTCGCAATTGCATCACTGAAGTCCTATATTAATAAAGAAGCTATATATCATTACAAACTCAATGTCCTATATGATTAAGGGGTATATGTATATGTAAAGATCACCTGGTTGGCGGTAGAAGATGTATATGTAATTATACATGACATTCCAGCCCCACTTGCTGCCTGATAAATGAGAAGTTCTGGTCAAAATCTGTAGTAATAGTTGTTTTTGCATGTAAAAGTAGAAAACTTGCCTGAAGTCCAATGACACTATCCTCTATGACCAAACAGTTCCTTGCTTGCAAACCTAATGTCTGGGCATTAATAAAGAAGCTTTTTTGTTCAATCCAATTTGTAGAGCAAGTTCTAGATTCTTTGGTAAAATCCACTTAACAAGACTGTAAACTACCATTCTATGGAATTACCTTTAAAGCCGTAATATATATCAATGGATCAGGTTTTTTGGCTTTGACATCATCACCTGCAAAAACAATTTTTTTTGTTAAGGAAAATGCAGTTTGTACCTCAGCTTATATGATATACCGGTTATTCTAATTAATTTCAATGAAAATGGTCAGAATCATAAGCAAAATTGTTACATCCATGCATTTATGATGGACTCATTGAAAGTTGGAACTCATGACCCGTACGTGTTTGAGGATCAAATCTCAATATCCTTCTTTCACTGGTGGCATAACAGTCTTCCACTAATGGCAGGTTTGCTGAGTGAAAACATGGCATTATTTGTACAAATCCATTTGTGCATCTAAATGGGTAGAAATGTGGCCAGATCCTAATCTGGGTACCCATAGTGTTCTAGATCTGGATACAGATCGAAAACTTTGATCCAAATATGGAATAAGTTGAACGATTGAATTGAAAGAAAGAGATGTCATTAGGGACATTCTGTACAAATCCTCCATTTCTCTTCCTTCCTCTTTCAAGCCTCCTATCCTCGTTTTGTGGTTTTAATTGTCATATAGTGTCTCACTGAAATTAATACAACATTACGTGGGTGAACTATATTTTACATAATATTCAAATGATTTATTTAGTGATATAATGCATAAAGTTTATAACTGAAAATTGAGTATGCAACGAATTGGATTGGTAGCATATGATCATGTAGGTATTTGTGTCTGCTTAGGGAGAAAACTAAAAAGAAACCAAAACTGCCCAGAGCAGTATTTATATTCATTAACCATAGGTGAATAAGGTAAGCTTATGGTGAGAACCAGAGCCGCAAAACCTATTAAGATGTGAACTAATTTTATCAATCTTGAGCTGACACAGACAACTTTTAACTCCAGCAGAAGTTCTGATACAAGTTGCTAACCATTTCGTATCAAGAAAGCAACCATGTGTGGAGAAATATTTTATCTATTCATAACAGAAGCAGTGGATAGAAGGACATAATAGTTGAACACTTCCTATTTATATGCAATGAAAAACAACATCAACAAACAAGCATATAGTGTTGAATATTGAAATGAAAGTACCTGCAAGGAAGCAGTCAAGTCCTTGGAATCTCTCCTACAAGAACCACAAAAACGTGATGTCAACATATACGGCGCACACTAGATATAGAAAAGTGATAAAGTTTTAGAAGAAAGGATTACTAGTCCAAGAAGATTCTCTAAGCTCAGAATAACTGAACTCTTTGTTGCTGCAGAGCAAACAGCAACCTTAATACCCTGCATTTTCAGAAGTCATGCACCATAAATTAATGTCTGATAATCATTAAAACACATTACAACATCTTGATGGATGATACAAAACAAGATGATGGCCAACAATCAAAAGTAGATATGCAGTTAGTTATGGCTTTGTGTCTGCAAAGTTTATTACCGCACCCTTGGCATCATCCATTAATTGCAAAACACCGGGTCGAGGCTCGACCTAGTCACAGAAACAAAGCTATGGTAATTGTGATGTATTTTTGAATCTTAACATCATCAGCAAATTTATTGTCATAAAGACTTGTTAGCAGTGATGAGAGACTAATACTTACAGAGCCAGATCTAATTATTTCTTTGTACCTTTCGGTCTTCCAATCCTGCAAAAACAATGATCCAATTGTCTAGTAATAAGCATGTTTCCAAGTGATCAAAACAACATCAAAACTATCAAACAGTTATACATTGAAATGACATGGATCAGATCAACTAAATATGGTGGTCATCCATGCCTCCTCATAGTTCTCTTGGGAAGTGTAGTGGTGCTAAATTGGCGAAAGATTTGTGTGGACTATCTAACCGGTTTCAAACAAATGAATGTAGTACACGAACCATTAAAGGCACCAACCTTATTCTATTGCTTGCACTTTTCCCAATCCATCGAACTCAATAATTCAGTACAATCAATCATCAATTACCAACTTGTCAAATCCTCTTTTTGGTTTCAGAATAAAAGAAATTCAGTGGGAACCAAAAAACATGCAAAGATGTTGATTTCACTCGCCTGGAGGACGTCGACCAACTTTTCCCTGTCTGAATCACTGGCTGGAGGTGTCTCAAAGATAGAAGAAGAAGGCCACCCATTCTCACCGAAGTACCTGCGATCCCGATCCCCACCCAAATTTAGGTTATCAATTTACCATCAAGAAACAAAACTGGACGAAGAGGCAACGGAAATAAATTGACGAGAAGAGGAGTAAGTGCGAGGACCATCTCATCTTGGGCTTGCCACCGCCGATGAGGTTCTGGAGCTCGTCGTAGAACTCGGAACCCCAGTGAAGAGGCTGGGAGGAGGATGGGGGGCAACGGACGGCGAAGTGTTCGAAGGCATCGTTGTAGGCCTGGCGGTGGAGGTGCTCCGATTCGAGGATGACGCCGTCGCAGTCAAAGATGAGGGCTTGGAGTGGGGAGGGGGAGGAGGAGGCGGCGACGGCCAACGGACGAGGGGAGCGAAGACGGGGGCTATGGGGTAGGCGAAGAGGCGAAAGGGCGAGGCGGTGAGGAGACGGGAGACGACGAGAGAGTGGGGAAGGGGAGGGGATAAGAAGGGAAGCGGAGGCCATGCCGTCGCTACCGATGCTTCTATCCGATGCGGTTTCGTCCTCTTATTTGAAACGAGAGGCAAAAGGAGAAGGAACCAACGACCAACGGCAAGGGAGGAAAGGGGGCAGATCGGAGATGAGGCGTTCGTGGCGTTAAATCGACGGCCCAACTCGAACCCAACCGCTACTCGCCTTTGGATGTGTGACACACACACATATGTACATGTACAAGTATATATATATACTAAATACGTTATGTATTTAGTATATATTTGTGTACATACATATGTGTATATATACCTCGCATTCCTCTCAGTCGCCATGATGTTTGGTCCGAAGGTAGTGTTCGAGTCTAACTCAACCTAATTCTCTAGCGGGTTAGATTGGATCCACATCAAACATTTCTTTTCTCGCTATTGTTGTTTGATACGAAAAGTTCGACACCAAATCAAACGTTCAGTTCAGTCAATCCTATGTGATGGAATCAGCTTGATTCATATGATCAGCATCTCGGACAACCAAAATCAACCAACCCTGTTGATTCATAAATATCTCGGACAATCAAAATCTTGAAAGCGTTACGCCAAAAAAGCTTTGATAATATTTTAGACACAAACAAACATTGTAATCAGGATCCTCATGCACTAACATTATGATGTGGGAAGATACCCACAAAACAGATCGGTATCAGAACTTAAGACAGGAGGTGCAAACAACACTCCTCCGAGTTGCTTGGATTTAACCATGAGATAACTTCTGCTGAATGATGTATTGTGCTTCCTCGACCAATGACTTCACCACTTCACCAGCAGGCAGGATTTCCTTGATGAGACCAACACCTTCACCAGCATACATGGCCATGCAATCAACATTACCCGTTGTTGTTGGATTTGGAACAGTACCAGCGAACCGACGTATCTCCTTTGGCTGAGAAAGAAAGATTATTTAGCTTTGAAGTACCATTTTCCGGTGCTCGTTAGTATTTGCTATCAGAGTGTAAGATCGAGACTCTCATAACTCATAAGCACATAATTTCACAGCTATGTATAAAGCCAGAACAAATATGAACATGTAATCCAACTGTTCCAAAGGAACTGCCGCATGTGCATAAATATCTTCTAACATAATTGCTTTTGAAAAATGGTGTTTTGCATAACAATATTCAAAGCAAAAAAAGAAAAATCATATATTGATCTCTATGGTACTCAATTGAAGGCAAATTGTTGAAAACATAAAATTCTATGTATCATACAAAAGCCAAGATGTAGTGTCCGAAAGCTAAAGAATAAATGTTTCCTAGCTAGCAACTATCGCATGTGCTCATTATATCCTGGTGGGCTATGATTTTGAAGAATCATTTTGTCACACAGCATTCACATAAAACATCGCATATTAAATGCCATATATGAATAGAAGATACAAGCCAATGGATCTCTATTTATCACCCAAGAAGAAAGTTCATCAGGAATTCTGATAGAGAGCCATGTAAGTTTCAGCATTTATACTTGAGATTCTACGAGTTGATCTACAATGAGAAAGTGACTCACCACACCATGAATTGTTGAGAGACCAATGACAGGTTGATTTTCCTCATTTTCGTGGTCTGGTAGATGCCTCCATTCATTGAAAAAAGGTGTTTGTAGCACACGTTGTGGTGCACCGGGCCATCTTGAACGGCCAAATATATTTGTAAACTCTGTTTTGTCAGATTCAATCAGCTTTTGCTTATAATGAGGGTGTGCAAAGCTTTCAAGAGTAGCAAGAAACCTATTATTGTTAAACATGTGAGCATAAGGAGATGAAGGAATGTAAAATCAAATGCTTGGAGATATAGAACATCAAGTAGATTGCAGACCTAGTTCCAAGGCAGACACCTCGAGCACCAAGAACCAGTGCAGCTACATAACCACGTGCATCTACAATGCCACCTGCAGCAATGACTGGAATATCACAATCTGACACCAAGTCCACTACTCTCGGCAATAAAGAGATCAATCCATCCTGCATAAAGAACAAAAATTAAGATCAACTACATAGTTTCTATTTTCAAACACGGGAGAACATGCTCCTCCTTGAGACCATATTTATAAGTATGCGATGTTTTGATATGGTTCTTGTGTCTAAAAACCCCATCCTTGATGGTAACTATAAAGCTGAGCATAGTCATGGAAATGAAACAAAGACACAAGATGATACAGACATGTCGACATGGCTAATCTTCGTAATATAGGACACCAAATGGCATAGGCACAACAATTAGAAAATTCTCAGCCTGCATATATTGCAAATATAATAAGAAACCTAAAAGATAGTCATGAAATGCCTTAAATCCATATGCAAAACACTAAGGAGATATTCAGCCATAGAAAGTTCAATATTAAATTACAAACATGATATCCATAGTCAACATATCTAGAAGCCTTATTTGGATGGTATGTGTTCTACAGTTATCAATTATGCCATATAGAAATATTAACAGATGTAGATGATGCAGATATTTTTGATATTTTTTAAGTATTGGACATGTGTCCAGAAGTTTCTTCCATGTAAACTAAATAGACCTGGCAGATCTTTTGAAATATCTCTGCTTTATAACTATAAACTAAGAATACTACAATGAAATCACTTAACTGATTGTAAAAGGAGCATAAATCTAGTATTTGGAGTTAGCAAAACATGACTAATAATACCAATACCTGACCAAGTACATGTCCACCTGCTTCATGACCTTGAACAACAATTGCATCCACACCAGCACACTTGGCTTTCTTGGCATCTTCAATGCAACCAACCTATACAAGGGCATAAAAAAATTGGCCAAACAATAAGCAAAAAAAACAAGAAAAGAAATTGATGAGTAGTCCTCATTCTGCATAATTTCTAAGCAGTACTATCTTTTTAGAAAAAAACAATTACACAACCCTGTAACCTTAATGCTACGAAGGTAGCTTAAATCTACTTGTAAGTTGTAGAATGGACATGAATCAGATATCTGGCTCAAAACTTGATCTGGTCAGAACACAACTTGAGTGAGGACATGACCGCCTCTTGTTTCGAAAATAAGTACAGAATCATTTTGAGTACTCTATAATAGTCCACATAGAGCTGCTTTAACAAATACCACGTAGTGGTGGGTGATATTAGTGAAATTAGGTGTTAAACATTTGAGATCAATTTTTTATTTTATTTTCTCTAAAAAGCACCAATTTAAAATTTTTGATCATTCCATCCTGTCCCTTCACATTCTGACTATTCCATCTAATTTCATGCACAGGATTTCTACCACATAGCCCTTGAGGTGCTCTGCTATTTGGCTTGGGACTAAGACCAACATTATACAGCTTGACTTGCTTCGAAATTTGTTCTCCAAGATCAGATTGCAAGTGAATCAAGTCCTCATTCATTGCATATGTTAATTACAATTCAGATATAGGAAGACATGACATCAATCACATATGATGCCAACAAAAAATAAGGGCATCTTACTTGAGGCTTCATAAGAGAAACCAAGCTGATGTCAAATTATAATGCAGGATAAAGAAAAGGTAATATATGTTGTGCAAATTTTCCATTCTGGAACCAAGTATACAAAAGATCAGCAAATGGAAAAAGAAAAAAATAATGCTTCCAAGTTTAGCTGCAACTTTAAAAGAACAAATTTAACGTGCTGAGAAATGTGTAGACAAGTAAATAGGTTCTGCATTCCCTAATAAGATCACGGGCTAATGCATGTTACCATTAGACGCCCAAATGATACAATGGCTTTATAAAATTGAGACAGCTAAATCGATCCATAAATACTTACTTGGTGAATGACCTTGACACCTGCATGATGAGCTTCAGAAACAAGCTCTTTTGGGAAGTCTCCCCATGAAACTTGCAATACTGCAACCTTTTCATCCAACACAGCTTTCAAATTTTCTTTGTGTGGAAATGATAGAACAATGCCAACACCAAATTGTTTGTCTGTCAGGGCTCTAGTTTCCCGTATCAACTCCCTTAGATGGTCAGGTGCCTCCTGGAAAAATTAGAAATGTAACCTGATTTAAATTGCTAAAAGAACTCGAAAAGAAACTACAAAATCTCTTCAAAGTAATTGCGTTACCAGGAAATATGTATATATATTTGTAACAATAAATTATGGAGGGCTTGAAATTCACGAGGAGGAGCTAATTCTCCTTTTTAACTTCTTGACGGTGTCAGGAAGCAGATTTGGTCTTCGTGCCATCAATCATAAGCCCAAAACATCTACTATTACTCTTCTATTTTCTATAGTTCCAACATACAGAAGCAAACTAGCATGAAGACATGTTAAATTCGCAGTAACGTGCAATTTCTGTTCCAAGATTTACCCATTCCTGTCTTCCTGGACAATCGAATTGCTGTATACTATGATGGAAAAGAAAATGATGACAAAAGCATCGATTACAGCAAAAAAAGAGACGCTTTTGGTGATAAGTTCCAAGAACTTGTTCCACATAATGAACGTGCAAATATGCGATTTTAGGACGAACGATTAGAGAAGAGGGGAGGAGGTACCCAGTCGGGGGCTCGGAGGATACCGATGGCCCCGGCGTTGGCGACGGCAGCTACGAGTTCCGGACCGGAGACGTCGGGGCCGAGGGGTCCCTGCACGACGCCGTAATCGAAGCCGAGTATGCCTTTCCACCCCATCGAAACCAGCGTGCGTCGGAGAACGGCAAACACGAGAGGAGACGTGACATTGTGGGCAGCTATTAGGGTTGGAGACGGCGATGGAAGGGTGAACGTAAGCAACGATGTCAGCAGCCGGCGGCGCCGCCTCAGATTACTTCTTTTCGATTGATAATGTCCCAACAAAATTAATTAGTCACTTACTTACCATTGGGGTGGATGAACATTTTTAGATTTCTGAATCAATAATTTCAAGGATAAGTTAGATAAAGAATTCAAGCATGGACTTCTCCATGAATTAAAAACTATTACTTATTAAGGATCGATCTCAAGTTCTTGGTTTCGGATGGTGCTAGAAAAGAAAATTCGATACATCAAGAATTATACGATCATCGAAGGCTATATTCATCATCGCACATAGTCAGATCGAGAGAGATATATAAACATTATATACGTGATTGATCAATCAATCATATGAACCTCGTGATTAGCAAGCATAATCTAAACTATGCCAACCAATGATTTGATCCAAAACGGTTGATGATTTTCGAATAATAATTTACTCTAAGGGACATTTGTTACGAACGTTCTTGATTTAGTTTTTATAAATTTAATTCTCTATAAACAATGACTTGAATTAAAATTAATTAAAATTAGTTAAATTCGAATCATCAATATGAGAAAAAAATATTTATTAATTTTAAAATTATTTTTTAATGATTATTTCCTTTAGTTGCTATTCTAAAATTAAAAAACCTCTTTAGTGATTTTTTTTTTCTTCAAATTTTTGCGTATTTATTTTATAAAATTAGACGTTATTGTCGACGTCAAGAGACACTCAAACTTGCCATGAATTCATTAATAAATGCTCTACAAATAAAAAAAATCACAAACACCCAAATTATAAGCCAAGCCGGTATCTTTCTCTCAAGTCAATGTCTGCCACCACTCGTGCACGAAGTTTGAAGGTGTCCCACCGTCACAAAACTGGGGCGCCCATGAGACACGCTCCACTCTCACAATGGCCACCCAGCTAGCTAAGCCGTTCCATGTCGACAGCATCACAACCTCATCTGCTCCATTATCACAAACAAACACAGTGTCCGGGAGAAGACAGCAGAGCTAAACGACACATCACAACTAATGCCGCTGCGGCACCAAACTTTCCCGTATACTTAGAATTTGAAGTCATCGTTCCTCTGTGGAAACCCATCGACCTACATGGAAACCTTGCTGCCTTCATAAATGGTACTCCGTGAGCAGGGTGGAGTACTCCGGCGGGCCCACGGCGACATGTCCGAGTCACGATCGTCATCATCATCCGCCGCGCGGGCGCCAGCTATCGGTGGACGCGCGCTCGGCGCCCGATGGCGACACGGGCGGCTCCAGCCTGGCCTCGACTCCCAACTCCCCGTCCCCGCCTAACGTTCTACTCCCCCTTCGTCCTCCTCTCGCTTTCTTCTGTCTTCTTCCTCCGCCCTCCTTTAAACGCCTCGAGAAGCGCTCTCCCTCCGTTGCCCCTCGCGCCCGCCTGCGCTTTGGCTTTGCGCGGACCCCACTTCCAACGTTCGAGTGAGGGCATTTTGGGGAATGCGGGAGCTTCTGCAGTGCTACAGCTGGGAACAACACGTCGAATCCAGCTGTCTCCCAGGTGACCGTTGCCAGGCTCGCCTCACCACGCTTCTTTATCGGTACTAAAGCATCCGATGTGGACCCACCGGTCTTGTCTCTTGCTAACTCTCACCTTCCCCGTTCGAAACCCAGTCGAGCGCTGCTTCTTGGTTGCGGCCTCCATATATACCCCACTCGCTCCCCTCGCCGCTCCCACACCCTCCTCTCTTCTCCTCAAAGAGAGCAGCAGCACGCCCATCACCTATTCGATCGATGGCTTCCCCTGCCATTACACTTGTGTTCCTGCTGTCAACAGCCTCGCTTCTGTTCCAGTGCTCCTATGGAGGCAGAACTCTCTCTGCCTTGGTGGAACAACAGCCGCTCTCCATGACCTACCACAAGGGAGCCCTGCTCACTGGAAACATCTCCGTCAACCTTATCTTTTATGGCAAGTTCACTGCCTCCCAAAGAGCTATCATCTCTGACTTCGTTGCCTCCCTCTCCTCGCTTCCCCACCAGGACTCCATGGAGCCCTCCGTGGCCACCTGGTGGAAGACCCTCGCCAAGTACTACTCCACGTCGAGGACACCGTTGCCCAAACTCAGCCTCGGGAAACTGCTCCTCGACGAGGAGTGCTCCCTCGGCAGGTCCCTACGGGACGCCGACATTGAGACGCTGGCGGCCAAGGGGGCGCCGCGGAACGCCGTCAACGTGGTGCTCACGGCGGACGACGTGGCAGTGGAGCGGTTCTGCATGAGCCGGTGCGGCACGCACGGGGCTTCCGGCAGGTCCAAGGCCGGGGGGAGGTTCGCCTACGTCTGGGTGGGGAACTCGGAAACGCAGTGCCCCGGCCAGTGCGCTTGGCCCTTCCACCAGCCGATTTACGGGCCACAGGCGCCGCCGCTGGTGGCGCCCAACGGCGACGTGGGGGTCGATGGCATGATCATCAACCTGGCGAGCCTGCTCGCCGGCACCGCGACCAACCCGTTCGGCAACGGCTTCTTCCAGGGGCCGAAGGAGGCGCCACTGGAGGCGGCGACAGCGTGCCCGGGGGTGTACGGGAAAGGGGCTTACCCGGGGTACGCCGGGGAACTACTGACGGACCACGCGACGGGGGCCAGCTACAACGCGCATGGGGCCCGCGGGAGGAAGTACCTGCTCCCGGCTCTCTTCGACCCGGCCACCTCGTCCTGCTCCACCTTGGTGTAGTGTTGTGGGTACGGCTCGTTCCGGGCCAAGTTCTGATGCTGTAAGATGAACTAGTCGACGCATGCATACGGCATACGACCACGAGAAGCCGACGCAGAACGAAACATACTCAGTGCTTTCAGTGCCTACATATAAATATGATGTCTGTAATAATTCTTTCATTTGTTCAATGAAACTTTTAGTGATCTCGATATCTGTAGTTTAAGATGATGAATGATGCATCGGCGTGCGCGTTGATCATAAAATAGACACGAATATTTCGGAACTCGAAACAAAGAGCACGATCTTTAATCTTCCTTCTTTTATTGATAACATTAATAGACCAAGTGGTCAGTTGGAAGAGAGAACACTCCATTTTTTTCTTTATAAACTAAAATTTAATAGATTAAATTAACTATTCGTCAATACATTTTGAGGGGTGTAATAAGCATGTTATTTTCAAAATTCGTAGTAATTTTTTATTTTGTTTAAATCAATTAACTATATACGTAACAATTTTTATTTTGTTTAGATGTGATATAGCAGAAGGACGCACAATGTTGACAAGTGATCAGTACTTTAGCATAACGAACGAGATGTTATACTATTACTGCGAGGGTGGTCTTCAAAATTCACATAATATATACACACAGGTGCATGCATGCACACACGCAGCTATTTATGCGTCCGTATACAGGTCTTGTCGTCCCCAAGGTTAAACCATGGTGGAACACGCGGACGTTGACGGGTCAAACAGCGCTGGGACCAGATACTTCCTCCCGCGAGCCCCGTGGGCGTTGTAGCTTGCTCTCGTAGTGGGGTCCACCAAAAGGTCACCGGGGTAGCCCGGATATGAGCCTTTCGCGTACACTCCGGGGCACGCCGTCGCGGCCTCAAGCGGCGCCTCCCTTGGCCCTTGGAAGAAGCCGTCACCGAAGGGGTTGGTGGCGGCGCCGGCCAGCATGCTCGCCAGGTTGATCACCATGCCGTCGGCACCGACGTCACCGTTTGGCGCCACCAGCGGCGGCGTCTGCGGCCCGTACATGGGCTGGTGGAAGGGCCACGCGCACTGTCCCGGGCACTGCGCAGCGGAGTTCCCCACCCAGATGTAGGCGAACCGGGAACCGGCCTCGGAAAGGGACGACGACCCGTGGGAACCGCACCGGCTCATGCAGAACCTGTCCACCGCCACGTCCTCCGCCGTGAGCACCACGCTGATGGCGTCCCGCGCCGCCCCCCTGGCGGCCAGTTTGGCGAGGTCGGCATCGCGCAGCGATTTTCCGAGGGAGCACGACTCGTCTAGTATCTGTTTGCCGAGGATGGGTTTAGGGAGCGGCGCCTTGGACGTGGCGTAGTACTTGGCCAGGGTCGTCCACCAGGTGGCCACCGACGGCTCCAGAGAATGCTTCTGGCGCGGGAGAGGGGAAAGGGAGGTGACGAAGTCAGAGATGATGGCTCTCTGGGAGGCAGTGAACTTGCCATAGAAGACGAGGTTAACGGAGACGTTTCCGGTGATCAGGGCTCCCTTGTGGTAGGTCATGGCGAGCGGCTGCTGCTCCACCAAGGCAGCGAGAGTTCTGCCTCCATAGGAGCACCGGAACAGCAAAGCAACCAGGAGAAGTCTAACAAGAACAGAGCAGTGAGCATTTGTAGTGAGGAAGGAAGAAGCCATGGGAGTAGCCTTTAGCGTTCCAGTAGGAGAATAGGAGAAATGGTGCGAGCGATGGGTGTATCCTACCGATCTGATGTCCGGGAATTTATACTGCGGAAGTAGCATCCTGGTTCGTGAATGAAAGCATTAAAATACGGTGGGTGTGGGAAGGCGAGGCGAAGGCTGGAAGCGAGCATAAAGAGGGCGCGAGTTTGACGCGCCCCCATCCGTCGGCGAACGCGACAATGGCTTAGCTGGACTGCGTGCCTCCCTTCTTGACATAAACGCCACTCAAACAACGTGCCTTTTGTTCTTTTCATGAAGGTTACTTTAGTCATTTCAAGAACATAATAAAAGAGTGGCCCCACTCCACGAGAAAGAGAAAAGATAAGGAGAGATAAAAAAGAAAGGCAAAGTTCGGGATGAGAACGAATCCAACAAACGAGGTAAGAGGGAAACAACGCAGAGACGCAGAGGCTCGTCTCTTCACCATCAGAGGAAATCGCACGGAATGGATGTGTCACGGCGACCCTGTGAAGGGAAACAACTCGCGCCTGCATGGCCGCACGTGACGGCGCTCTTCTACCACTTCGTCGTCGCCATCTCTTCGAGAGCACGAGTTAGAGAGAGAAGGGGGGGGGGGGGGGCGGGTGTTCGATGACTGTCTGGGCTCCTCTTGGCCGACAAAAGCAGACTAAATCTTTTATTTCAATGCACGCGTCCCTTCCGGACTACTCTTGCTTCGTCTCCTCGGTTCTCTGGAAAGGGCACTACGTGTAGTTTAGCTCGGTTGAAATGAAGCTGTCACGTTGAATACACGCATGGGAATTGGAATGGCGAGCAGCGTGTCTGGCGGAGGCTGGACCCGCGGTGGAGCCTGTAAACATGGTGAAGTCTGGCTACCCATAACCATGGCTTCCAGAAGGCTACAATTATTGATGCAGATCAAAGCTACTAGTCATGGCATCCTGTGTCGGCTGACACTATTCTTAATTAATCCCACCACTATACATCTAGCTACCTCCTTACCTTAGTCGCAGATGTTTATGCAAAAGATGGCCAAGCTTTTGAGTGCGTAAACCAAGACTTGGATTAATCATTCCTATACTTGATAGGAACCTTCCACCATCACATGCAAGTCTTGTCCCGCCGGCCACCATAAATCGGTGGCGGAATCTACGTGACCGGCCTCCCCAGTTTAACTCCCTTCGGACTTCTTCAACGTTTTTATATTCTGTGAATGCTGCAAGCAGACTCTATGGACTAGAATTGGAGAATCATGTGCATGTCTCCCAGTTGTCTCCTCCCAGTAATACTGCACGAAGCTGAGATGAACCTTCCTCGTTAACATGCAGCTGGTCTCGTTAACCTATATAAACTTCTCCGGCCGAGAGATTCACTCATCACACAAGTGGTCTATCTTCCACTTCCTCCCAAAGATTTGCTATATCTTCTCCGAAATGGCTTCTTTCCCGGTCTCCAAAACATGCATTGCGGTACTAGTTTTAGTGAGCTTGGCACAGGTGAGCATGGGCTCAAGGAAACTTGCCAGCTTGGTGCAACAGGCATCAGACCTCCTCACGTACCACAACGGTGAAGTGATGCAAGGTGACATCGCCATCTCGATCACCTGGTACGGGACGTTCACCCCAATCCAGAAGTCCATCATCTCAGACTTCCTCCTCTCCCTCACACCGAGCTCCCAAACCCAACCACAGCCATCAACGCCTTCTGTCCGCCAGTGGTGGAACACCATCGATCGGCTTTACTTGGAGAAAGCTGGGAAGAGGAAGAAGAAGACTAACGTTGTGTTGGCCAACCAAGTGTCGAACGACAAGTGTTCCATGGGCAAGTCCCTCAAGACATCCCAGATCCCCGAGTTGGCGGCCGAGGCCGGTCCGAAGAAGGGCGGGATCGCGCTGGTGTTCACGGCCGAGGACGTCGCGGTCGAGGGCTTCTGCATGAGCCGGTGCGGCCTGCACGGTTCCGACCGGAAGACCGACTCCGTCTACATCTGGGTGGGCAATTCGGCGGCCCAGTGCCCGGGCCAGTGCGCGTGGCCCTTCCACCAGCCCGCGTACGGGCCGCAGACGCCGCCGCTGGTGGCGCCCAACGGCGACGTCGGGGCCGACGGCATGGTGATCAACCTGGCGAGCATGCTGGCCGGCGCTGTCACCAACCCTTTTGGCGACGGCTTCTTCCAGGGGCCGAGGGAGGCCCCGCTGGAGGCGGCTACGGCGTGCCCCGGGGTGTACGGGAAGGGAACCTACCCGGGCTACGCCGGCGGCCTGCTCGTGGACCCTATCACCGGGGCCAGCTACAACGCGAACGGGGTCCACGGGCGGAAGTACCTGGTGCCGGCACTGTTCGACCCGTCGACGTCCACTTGCTCCACGCTGGTTTAAGAGGATGATGATGACGTTTCGAGTGATGTGCCCTCGGATCAATGTCTATTCTTTGATTCATTTCTCTCTCTCTCTCTCTCTCTCTCTCTCTTGGGAAGCTCGACAACATGAAATAAATAGCATCATAAGCAATGAATAATTTATGCGGGTTTTGATTGAGATGAGGTAACCTGAACTGGACCTAACCTGCCTCAAGCATCAGGAACTTTGAACCCAAGTCGCCGTACCACAGTTGGGATCGATAGGAGTTCGTTCGGCTAAACCTCATCATGAAGGAACCGTAGGCTCGACTCGACATGATCCAAGTCCCCAACACAAAGTGTGTTTGGCCCATACCAATGAGTTATATCGACAAATTTACCTGAGAATTTAGTTCAATATCGATCATATTTAGAATCATAATGAGTAGTCTGAAATTACCGATTTTGATCTGTAGAGAGAGGAATAGAATTTGCTTTCCTTCTCAGTAGCCATAGTCTTCTGTCCTCCTCCAACTCTGTTGCGACTCTGCTGCTGCTCGTTCCATGCAGCTGTTGGCCAGTCCTCCCAGGCCTCATAGGGACACCATTAATGGCGATATGGACCACGCAGCGTCCCCGTAATGATGGCAGGGCCGAGATGAAACTGAAACCGATCACTTTACCTCGCTGCTTACAGCCTATCTCCTCTTCTGCTTAAGAGTAGAAGACAACCATAAAGGAGAACAGTAAAGATGACCTGTAGGTTCTTCGTGCAGTCACGTTTGTCTTCGTTGTTCTTCTTTGCAGTCGCTTCTTCATTAATTCATGTCCACTAAGCTTTTGCCTCTCTACGCTGCGAAGCAGCACATGTTACAGTGATGCACGTCGTCTTGCTGTTTATTTCTGTGTATATATGTAATTGTTTATTATATATGGCGATATATTTTCTACGTCTTCGTCAAGACATGGGAGAGAGAGAGAGAGACAGAGAGAGAACATCACAGCCATGTACAGGGATCAGAGAGAAGGTGTATTGGTAAAAGGTCAGCAGATCAAAACCACTGTGGCCAGCTTCACGTTGGCTTCCTCGTCACACTTGGTTCTTCTCTCTTTTGCATCTCAGGAAATCCATTTCCAGGATAGGGTCAGACTGGCACTTCCCGTTTTCCGAGGAGGAAATGGATATGGTCCTGCAAAGCTTGCGAAGAAAGCCAAGATTTTATTTAAACCAGAGAGAGAGAGAGAGAGAGAGATCTAAAACCCCAGTTGAAGGTCGAGTTAAAATTATGCCCGCACAAGCTGGAATGATCTACCACTGTTTAAGATTAGTCATATTTATAATTAAGAATGATATTAAGATTTTACTAACAGCTTATTTTTTTATTATATAAATTGTATCCAGAAAACAAAAGAAGTGGTGTTCGATGAACCCTAAATTCTATGGTTTGTAGGCTCACATAGGTAACAATGAAGAATCAGACATTTTCTACAGAAAGATTCAGACCTCATTTGAAGCTCAAGTTTGGATTCACTGTGTGTAAGCTTCAAGTAAACAAAAAGCTTCCAAACAGGAGAAGCAAAGTCTAAGCTGTTCTTTGAGTGCATTTTGGTCTTTGCCTATTTATAGTCAAATTACCACTATTTTTCCTACCAAATTTTCAACAAATCTATTGCTCAGTACTTTGTTAGACCAAATAATTACATGAGCAAATCTATCCAATTTTTTCCAGCTAAGAGAACTCCAGCTGTTCATATAAATAGTAGGACAAGTGAATCCAGCCATTTTGACCCACCTTAATTTCTACAGATTTTGACTAGTCAACCGGTTGACTCAGAAACAACATGCCCAAACCATTCCACACGCCTCCCTTACAGTACTTCTCTGTGCACAACCTGTCCGCCACTTGCGTATTATTTCTTTTCCTCTCCTACCTCTGTTTTCCTTTCTCTTTCTTGTATTGCTTGATCATTTCAGTGTGCCTACTTCTAATGGTCAATTCAGCTTTAATCGCCAAGACGTGCCCGCCACAGCTTTGATCTGTGTCTGAACTCTCCCTTACTATCCCTTTATGCAGAGTGTTATAAAGCTGCGTCGTTTGCTGCACTCTCCCACATAAACCGGAGGCTAGACACATCGACTCTCTTCGAAGGGCCTCTCCATGGCTTTCTCGCCTCCTCCTCCCCTCCTCCTCCTCCTCTCCCTCCTCTCTCTTCTAGTGTTGCAGTCTTCCGCGGTCATCCCCCGCATGCTCTTCCTGGTGCCGCAGCAGCCACTCGTGCTCAAGTACCATAAGGGCCCCTTGCTGAAGGGCAACTACACCGTCAACCTCCTCTTCTACGGCCGCTTCACCCCCGCGCAGCGCGCCATCGTCGTCGACTTCGTCCGGTCCCTCTCCGCCCCTGCCAGGTCCTCGCGGCCGCCCTCTGTCGCTTCCTGGTGGGGCACCACCGCCCTGTACGGTCCCGGCGGCGCCACCCGCCTGTCCCTCGGCCGCGTGCTCCTCGACGACCGCTGCTCCCTCGGAAAGTCCCTGACCGACTCGGACCTCCTTACGCTGGCCTCCCGCGCGCCCCACCGCGCCGCCATCACCGTCGTGCTCACCGCCCCGGACGTTCTCGTCGACGGCTTCTGCATGAGCCGGTGCGGATTCCACGACTCCGGCCGCGGGGGGAAGCACGGCAAGTCCCGGTACACGTACCTGTGGGTGGGCAACCCGGCCACGCAGTGCCCCGGGGAGTGCGCGTGGCCCTTCGCCCAGCCCACCTACGGGCCGCAAACGCCACCGCTACTGCCGCCCAACGGTGACGTCGGCGTCGACGGCCTCATCATCAGCCTGGCGACCCTGCTGGCCGACACGGTGACCAACCCCTACGGCGACGGCTTCTTCCAGGGTCCGCCAACGCTTCCCCTGGAGGCGGTCACCGCCTGCACCGGCATCTTCGGCAACGGGGCCTTCCCGGGCTACCCAGGGAACCTGCTCGTGGATCCCACCAGCGGGGCCAGCTACAACGCCCGGGGATTGGCCGGGAGGGAGTACCTGCTGCCTGCAATGTGGGACCCGAAGACGAAACAATGTAAAGCCCTCGTTTAGAATGCACGATGCACAAATAATGAGACCTTAATTATCTCCTAAAACTTGCTATATTCCGCATTTTACTTTGGATTTTTGTTGATAAACTAAGGTGGATCTGTTCATCTTCTTCTTCTGTTCATGTCTATGTATCCATTGAATTGTGATCACTCATGGAATGTATATGTTTGTCACGAGGTTATCCGAGCGACAGCAACTGATACAGATGAGGACAAGCTGTCCACAACCCTTGACATTTCCTCCCCTATGTAACATGCAATGGATATATGCTTCACAGAAGCTGATATAGGTGGTCACATTTGCATCACATCCCCAAGTGGTCAAGCAATGAAATTAGGCTTTTAAGCAACATAATGTGGCATTAATATATGTTTCAAAGTGCACTCATGGTGGTGGTGGCTTATCTAAATCATTACCTTGATTGATTGAGCATCTATAGATGCTCGAGTTCACTGCACATTATCTATATCTATCATACATCATCTTGATGCGCTTCAATGATTTATAGAAAATAACTCACCATCGAGTATGTCATTTACCACCAAACAATATCATGATTGAAGTTTGTCGCAAATGATGCTTGGAGCTCCGATGTGCCCAAACAAGAGATAAATATATTCTCATGCGGTCTAAGTGGCTCACAGTTGTAGCAACACTTCTTAACACACACATACTATATATAATGATGATTATATATGTAGGTTTTGATGAGATGCATGCCAGCTACCAAATTAAAGAGGTAAAGAAGATTGAGGTCTTTGTACTTTGTATTGTGCCCCATCATACAATGTTCTATTATTGAGCCAACAACGAGTCATAAAGGTGTTCTATCTATTTGTTTGTATTGTGCCCCATCATACAATGTTCTATTCCCTTCCCACTTGCTTCTCATGCCTATCAATGAGCCGCAAAGCCCCTTATCATCATATTGTTTGGAGAGGCGATTCTTATGATAACCATAGGGAAAAGTGCAATCTAGTGCTTAAAACACATTATGCCATTTGAATTGCATGTTAGGTTGGATCAAAATTAATAGTCGCTTTGCATTTGAAGGAATTATTTCCGGATCTTAGATTGATAGGAGATGTATGTGGTTTAGAGAATTAGAAAGCTGTCTCGTTGCAATCATTAGGAGGCCCAATTGATGTATGATCACATTATCCACAAATTATTGTAAATTATTGTCTCGTTGTAATCATTAGGATTTATTTATTGTCACATTTAGCATCCCAATCTACCTTAGGAGGAGTTAATATCTTATATCTTTAATGTGTAGCATGTGACATGAAGCCCGTGACTGGGCTAACTCGAATTCCGGGCTTATTATGGGCCGAATATTAGCTTTGGTCCATTATAGAGCCCAATTTAATTGAGGCCCATGTCAAAGCGTCCGCCTTTTCCGTGAGAACCGCTCACCGTTCCATCGATTCCACTCGCCCCACCGGGAACAAGAATGGCCGACTCCGATCGATCCGCCGCCTCTCCTCCCGTCTCTTCCTCCTCCGCCACCGACACGCCGTCGCCGTCGCCGCCCATGTTATGCGCCGCTTGCGCCGGGGCCACCGCTTCCTGGTCTTCCCCCCCGCAGTGGTCCGACTCCTCCCCTCCCCCTGCCTACCGCCCCATCCGCGCCCCGGCCATCAACGCCCCCACCGCCACCGCCTCGATCGTCCTCGCCCCCGTCCCCCAGCCCCTCCCCGTTCCCCCAGCCGAGCCCCCATACCGCTTCGAGATCCCGTCCAAGCGCATCTCCTCCCCCGACGACATCCGCCGCTTCCACTCCTCCGAAGCCGGCCGTCATTTCGTCGGCTTCGTCGCCGCCCTCTCCCGCTCCGTCCGCGGCCGCAAGCTCTCCGATCCGGTCCCCTCTCCGCTCCCCACTCCCCTCTCCGGCCTCCTCTCGCTCCTCCACACCCTGGCCCGTTGGATCGACGAGATTCCCCCTCTCCCCCACGCGTCCCGCTACGGCAACCCCGCCTATCGGTCCTGGCACGCCCGCCTCACAGACGAGGGCCACGGCCTTGTCGTCGCCCTTTTTCCCCGCTCAGACGAGCTCCACCCCGCCGCCGATGAGCTCCTTCCCTACCTTCTTGACTCCTTTGGCAACGCCTACCGCATTGACTACGGCACCGGCCACGAGACCAACTTCGCCGCCTTCCTCTATTGCCTCGCCCGCCTCGGCCTCATCAAGGAGGACGACTACCCGGCCCTTGTGCTTAGGGTGTTCGCTACCTACCTCGACCTCATGCGGAGGCTTCAGATCACCTACTCCCTCGAGCCAGCTGGGTCGCACGGCGTGTGGGGGCTTGATGATTACCACTTCCTTCCCTTCATATTTGGCTCGGCTCAGCTGATCGATCACAAGTACATGAAGCCCAAGTCAATCCACAACCAGGACATTCTTGACAACTTCTCCAACGATTACATGTATTTGGGATGCGTGGCCTTCGTGAAGAAGGTGAAGAAGGGGGTGTTCGCGGAGCACTCGCCCATGCTTGATGATATCAGTGGAGTGCCCAACTGGAGCAAGGTGAACAGCGGAATGCTGAAGATGTACAAGGCTGAGGTCCTCGAGAAGGTGCCTATCATGCAACATTTCCTCTTTGGATGGCTCATCAAATGGTATGTCCATATTCATCCCTTTGGCATGGTGGTATATAAAATGTCAAGTCTCTGTTTTCATCTGGTTCATAAACTTCATTTAAAATTGGTGTGTGATTTAGATTTCTATTCTTGTAGCAATATTTGATTCCTTGATGTTCTACATTCTGATTGACAGCCCTGAATAATCTAACTGGAAGATCAAGGGTTTTAGGAATATAAAAAGGGAATATTAGAAATTTAAAGACCATGAGGATGCATATACAATTATTTCAAAAATCTCCATTAAAGTCACAATGTACCGTAGAAGAAGGCATGAGGATGAAACTGTAAGAAATTTCAGTGATTTCTCCAACCCTTGACTGTAATTTCTCCAACCTGCAAGGTTTTGTGTGCCAATTAAAAGCTTCATAGATTTGTATATTATTAATGTCAAAAATAATTTATGCGTTATGTGGAAATTTTGAAATCTATTACAAACTTTTGGCTGAATTTGTGTCACATCGATGAGTTTAACCGAACAATGGAATTGTATATTTGATAAAATGGACAATGGAGTCAGAAATTTTGAAACACTTATTTCCCTGATTTTTTTGGTAAAGAGAAAGTGGTGAAGGTGGGTTTTGATTATTGGCCATTGTGATGAGTCTTTACCAACTAAGCTATTTGATAAAATGGACAATGGGGTGAGAAATTTTGCAACACTTATTGTTAGACAACAGATATGCCGTGGCTGGTGGGTCAGCACGGCTAGGTCCACTGGCCGATGTCGGGAGCTTTCTGCAGGGTGATTCGGATGATGAGGTACCTGAGCTCTCGGGAAGGAGTGCTGGTTGGCGTTGGTCGGGATCGGGGCGGATTGGCGACTCCTTGGTGCTGGGCGGATCATGCTTCCGTGCCGAGTCCCTCACTGCCGATGAGTGGTCGCCCTCCTGCAAAATGGCCTCCGTCGGGTGGTACCTGACCTTGGCCCCTCCGACGAGTGGTACCCAGTCGTGGCCCCTCCGACGAGCAAGTTAGTAACCAGAGGAATTGCTTTTTTCCTTCTTTTTTCTTGCCTCCCCCTGGCTGGAGGCTGGCTAGGGGTTTTATACTGTGGCGAGAGGGCTGAGGGTATGTCGATTTGGCGTTGCCACTGGCCCCCGAGGGATGGGACGACCCTTCTGATTGGCCGTCACGTCGGGGCGTGCAGTGCGGCGTAGGGCTCTGACTTGGCGTCTGTGTTGGCTGTGACGTGTTCAAACTACCAAAATATACTGTATCACTTATTTCCTTGGTTTTTTCTGGTAAAGAGAAAATGGTGAAGGTGGGTTTTGATTATAGGCCATTGCGATGAGTTTTCACTAGCTAAGTTATTTGATAAAATGGACAATGGAGTGAGAAATTTTGCAACACTTATTTCCTTGGTTTTTTTGGTAAAGAGAAAGTGGTGAAGGTGGGTTTTGATCATACGCCATTGCGATGAGTCTTTACCAGCCAGACTATTTGATAAAATGGACAATGGAGTGAGAAATTTTGCAACACTTATTTCCGTGGTTTTTTTTGGTAAAGAGAAAATGGTGAAGGTGGATTTTGTTCATACGCCATTGCGATGAGTCTTTACTAGCCAGACTATTTGATAAAATGGATAATGGAGTGAGAAATTTTGCAACACTTATTTCCGTGGTTTTTTTTGGTAAAGAGAAAATGGTGAAGGTGGGTTTTGTTCATACGCCATTGCGATGAGTCTTTACTAGCCAGACTATTTGATAAAATGGACAATAGAGTGAGAAATTTTGCAACATTCATTTCCCTGATTTTTTTGGTAAAGAGAAAGTAGTGAAGGTGGGTTTTGATTATACGCCATTTCGATGAGTCTTTACCAGCTAAGCTATTTAATAAAATGGACAATGGAGTGAGAAATTTTGCAACACTTATTTGGTTTTTTTGGTAAACAGAAGTGGTGAAGGCGGGTGGGTCATTGCGATGAGTCTTTACCGGCCAAGCTAGGTAGCACCTTAACAAAAATAATGTTGTAAAAGGATTCGAAACCTCAACCTTAAAGCCTACTTAGGCCTTTCCTTGTTATTGATATAAAAGACTACTTATGTCTACCTCTGCATCCCATATCGAAACTTAAAGCTTTCACCCATCTAGCGGAAGATGACAACAAATCCGTCTTCTTTTTTGTTGCGGCTCATTCAATGTCGACCGCTTTGTGTTTCTTTTGCTATGTACTGTAAGAAGTTGATATGCCAACAGTAGGTGGTTCTCAGGTTAAGTGTGATCTCTATGCCTAGGCAACTCTCTGTGTTGTAAATATATCTGGTTTCTTGTTAACGCACAATATACTATCATAACTCTGATCTGTGATGCTTTTTTATTCATCTGCCAACTTTCCAGGGAGTGAAAGTCATCACCTTCACGAGGCTTTAAAATGTGTAGGTTGACGTCCCTTGGTTTTCCTGGCACGCTATAGCATATATGTAAGTTGATCGTATGACTTGTTGCTTTGCAGCATCCAGTAATTTTGTTTTCCTTTTATTGATTTCATTTACTGCTGCTTTTTTGTTTGGATCACGAATGAAAAAGGATATATTTATGTAAAATATCCATATCGATTTTGGTCTACCTGTTTAATCTTATACTGCTTCAGCCTTGTTCGAATCTAGCAGCTTAAGGTATCCTTTTCTTAATAGCACGGTGAGGGAATGCTAAATACTGCATATTAGTGACTTTTATCTTGGCCACATCTGTAGAACAACACTAACTTCTCTCTGCAAGGTGTGTCTGGCATTGTAATAATCAAACCCAGGCTGTTCTTGAGCCCAAGAACAATTCAACAGCACTTTTGTGTCTTGTTTGATGGATTCTGTCTCGCACTGCCATTCATCGTGACACGAAATCTCAGTTCAGTTTGGAGTGCCGGCGTTCTTGCTACTATTTGGTCTCTGAATCACTGCATGGAGCCACAGAAGTGAGAGTAGAACTCAACTCAATTTGACTGAGCTTTACTTGACCTTCACGGTTTCCCGATGACTAGATTGGCTTGTCACTTGCCCTATGATTCAGCACTCTTTAAGAGTTGTGTTTCCAGCTGTGTCACTCTTTGTATTCTTGAGTTGCTCTTAAGAGCCATATATAAGGTTCAGCTTCAAGTTTTGGAAGCTAAATGGCCTGCTAGGATTTTATGCACTTAAGGAGGTGCCACAATTGTCAAACTTAGACCTCTCTCTCTAAAACAAGAAAGACAAAATCGCTTTAAAATCTTCAATTGATTTTTGTACTCGCCCCTCTTAAATTAATAAATTTTATGGTGTCAATCTCAAATTAGTAATTTTTATATTTTGCTCATTTTAATTTAGGAAATAAAAAGTTCAATTACTGTTATTGCAAAGCTAACTTTGATTCAAGTTCAATTCAGTAGAAAATCTTACAAAACTAAATTGAGGGAATGCTTGATGAATCATAATAACAAAGAAGGAAAGATAATGCAAGATCCATAGGGTTCAGAGAGAACTTATCCGAGCTGATAAACTCGATACTAAGTGGGGAGTCAACTCACGTCATTAGTTTGTAGGGCATTACTCGGAAGTAGAATCATCCGAACCATCGAACATTGCAATCGCATCGTCATGCTAGCCTTGTGGTGGTGTTTAGGATGTCCATGTATCAGATCAGATTCGCCGTAATTTTTCACAAAATTTGGTCTTTGCATGAATGCCACTCGCAGTGGCATACGAAGAATCCTGCCCGGCCCCCACTGCCAACCTGCACGAAATAATCATCAGAATGGATTTTGATCTAAATCGGTAAAGTTTCCAGACGACAGGATCGAGTGTAAGCCCGAAAGTTTGAGATCAACAGAGGTTGGTGAGTAGCAGCAGCAGCAGCAATCCATGTTCCTTGACATGCTTTTTGCACACCGAGGCAAGCGAATCAACAAACTATGCGACAGTGGCATCTTGTTTTCACCTTTCCATTCTGAAGGATTCCTCATCACCGATTACTGGAGGTATATTCCATGTACCAAATGCATGTCCAGAAGTCGCCCCTCCTAGAGGGAATAAAAAGGTTTATATTAACATTGACTTGGCTAAAACTCCACAAGATTTATTATTACGCACATTGAAGCAGGACAACAGAAGAAAAAAAAAAAAGTTACCTTCTCTTGTAGCTTCTTCACATCTTCTCCTATAACTTGATGACAATTCAGGATCCAAAGTCCTTATGAGGCGCTCATATTTTTCTTCGGCTTCGGTGATACATTTTGCCTGGCAAAAGAAGTTGGAATAGTGTGTAAAATGCTATAATTGACTTTTTTTCGGTTTATGGTGATCATTATCAACATTCTTTTGAGTGCACACATCTCTAGTACTGACCTAGGAGAACTTGCTCATTCTTACAGAAAACGAACCTACTCCTGATAATATGATGATGACAATTTTCACATATGAGATGCCATGGGAACTTATAGTCTATGCTACAAGATGCACCTTATTCCACTGGAGCTGTAATTGGCTTTAAAAAGATTGCTATACTCACCAACATACTCGGTGATGTTGAAGCTCCATAAACCCCCACAAACATACGTAATATGTTGAAGCTGTTTTCTACTACATCATCCTAAATATGCAACAAGCGTGCAACCAAATGTCATCATCATAACATGTCGATGTGCGTCAAACACAATCTGGTGAATGGAAACGCACCTCATAGTCATACCTACAACATATTGAATTTGTCATTGGTCACCAGTATGGTGTCTCGTGATAAAGGAAGAAAAACGAGTGCTGTTAGGAATTAAGAAAGTTTAGTTTCCGAGTGACAATTGGAATCATTTGTAGGTGCACATAACCAAATAAGATAACAGCGTTAAAGTTAGCAAGAAAAATCCAAATTTAGATTAAAAAATTGTAATATCCTGCTCAGAGTAATGACGAGTAGTTTGAGCATGAGATTGGAAGCTAGATACTTATATAAAGAGTGCCTCTAACACATTGCAATCATCAGCTCCACAAAGTGCACGAATTTAACACAGATATGCTTACCCCTACAATCAACCCCATGCATGCATCCTTCTTTTCACAAAAATGAATGAGGGTGACCGTGAGAAACATCTAAACATCTAATGAGGTGTACGACCTAAACTTTAGTTCATCTGAAGGTACAAATATATTTAGTTTGGTTTTAATCGGCTTCAATAAGTACCATAGTTGCCGAGTGAGCTAATTATAAGCTACCTTTAGCATCCTGATCCCTACATTTTAGAAAGTTACATTGGTATCCCTATAATTACAAAAGTGAAACATGTAGATTCATTTATCCCAACACCATCTGTTTTATCAATGAAAATATGAAAACAAATCACAAAAAGATAATTTTAACATTCTAATTTGTGGTAGCTGATGGCATCAGTTGTGGTGGACGACGGTGCCGCTGGGGGCCACGAGTGGCTGTTGTGGACAAAGAGAGTGACAACGGGAAATGAGGGCCACTATGCATCTGCATTGATACCGATGCAGATGCAGAGTGACGCCGCTCGACATTTGCATTGGCGGCTCTTTCATCGCTCGGCAATTGCGTTAGCGTCGACACAGTTGCCGAGCGAACCTCACCTCTCGTCGTCGCTCTCCTCATCTACAACAGTCACTCGTGGCCCCCAATGGCGTTGTCGTTCTCCACCGCCGATGTCATCAATCATCACCAACTGGAACGTTAAAATTACATTCTTACTCTTTATTTTCATATTTCCATTAATAAAATTGATGACGTAAGCGTAAATAGACCTAGATGTTTCACTTTCATAATTATAGGGATGTCAATATGATTTTTTAAAATATAAAAATTAGAATGCTAAATATAACTAATTACAGGGGATATTATGTAATTAGCCCTTGTCGAGTTCATGTAGGCTTTTGGAAGGTGAACCTATCACTCAGCATCAAACCAAGTGCAGGCACCAATGGAACTTCAGTAATTGAAAAATTATTAAATAGTCATCATAGTGGAAATATAATGCACCAACATCCAATTAGCCATTGTAGCACTAATACTTCGCATAGGCAGCAGTAAATGGGTCATCTAAGGAACTAATGTGCAACTTCATTGTAGCCTATGCAGCATTAAGAGAAGGCATCAAAAGCATGTGACTAGGCTAACAACAATTAGCTTTGCCAATTCATCAACATTTTAAATTGCCATTTTGGACAGGTGATAAGTAAACAAATAATCCAACAGACCAGACTTACAAGGCTGGTTGATGTACTTAACAAAACTTATACTTACAAATCATCTGCGATCTCAACTAGAAACTCTGAAACTGATAGAAACTCCATATGTAGCTCATTAACCTTAAAAAATAATAAAGGCAGTCATTTTAGTGTGGGAGTGAACAAGAAATGTGCAGATCGATTTCTTATATAACAACAAAAGAAGAACCACTACTAGCAATATATTCGATGAATCAGAAAGCAGTGAAATCTTCTAAGCAGAAGAATAAGAGTGGTCAATCTTGCGGAAAATACCAATTAGAGCGGTTTACATAAGAAAAATAAAAAGAAAAAATCATCCCTAAAAGCTCTCCACAATTTACATGACAATTAACATGTTAAGAATTCATTATATTAAAGAGCTACAAAACCAATAAATTTGTTTATTTTGTCAACCAGCCTACTGTAGGTTACTGAAAACTACAAAAATCCACTAGAAAGGTAAAAGATATTTTACTATTGTTTCTATTTCTGAGCAACATAACATTTTATGACAAATTTCCAACAATATTTCCTATAGAAGACATTAATCTAACTAGATAAGCATTTTAGACAAAGTTCAGAGAAATGCTCGAAGGCATTGCTCTTTCGCCATGATTTAGGCTCGGTACACAAACAGTACCTACCACACTGCAGGACAACGAATAGGGTGAATCCAAACTCTCTTGCCATAGTGGTCATGTCAAAATTCCAAGTCTTAATGTGTGAGTGCCCATGGAGTACTTTACAGCTATAAGTAACTTGAAATAGGAGCCTTTATTAGACTTTTCATTCATGAGTGGACCAAATAAATTCAAATGTCAGCTTCTATAAGTAGATACAAGATAGCATTGTTTCTTCATCCATTTTGATATCAAACATCTACATAAGCTGTAGAGCTCCTGTTTATTCCTCTTTGATCCAAATGACAATCAGACTTATCCGTCCTTCTCAAAATTCTGATAGGTTGTTACATGAAAATAAACCAGGAAAAAAAAACAGATTGCCAAATGTGAATGTTATGATAAAATAAAAACATGAAACTACAGTTACAAGTTTAATCACTTGAGTCAAAGTGCAGAGCAGCAAAAACAAAGTTAATTATGCACTAGGAATTGTAAAGAAATCTACCTGTTGGCCTCTCAATTGGTACAACAAAAGGTTCAGTACTCGATAATCAAAGGATTTTAGATGAATTGCTTTCATAATATCTTCCATTAGTATCTGAATAACAAAATTCTATTAATAAAGTTAGGCTGACAGGTACAGATACTATAACAAAAAAAGATGAGACAAATAAATGACACTCAAATTATAGAGATTTTATTCAAAATTCATAAATGTTGAAAAGCATAAGATACAAATGCAAGAGATAAAGAGTAAACCTAATGCACAAGGCTCCAACTAATGCAGATTTTTGGGCCAATGCACATAGCATTATCAGTACTTATTTTTCGGATTTCCACCTAAGAAATAATCATGATCAAGTTTCTAGACTATTTGTTCTGAAAAATTTCTGATCCCTAGCATATGATTATCATCGACTGATGAGTTGTGTTTAATTCAATAGACAACAAAAATGATGAATGTCAAAAAGAATAAAAGATGACACAACCTTCTTTTTTCCTGACAATGCATGACATAACTTCCTTTCAAGTGCCCAGTACTCAATACCTGAATTAAGCTCTTTTCTTATCCTATATAAACAAGATTTAGTCAGAAAATTTTGATTTTAAACATAAATTACACTTACGAAGAGTGGTGCAAGACAAGGTAACGAACCGCTCACTTAAAAGCCCTTCACACTGTAGAAGGCGAATAAGAGGATCAGCACTGCAAAATTCATTTGTATTGTTTCTCACATTATGATACGTAACCTACACAGAAGAGCATTGGACAAGTCCCATACTAGCAGTGAAGAGTCTAAAATAGTAAAATGGCCAATAAACAAGCATACTCTCCCAAAATATCAATAGATGTGTTGGTACATACATCATTACACAGATGGGTCAAATTATTCAACTCGGTTGTTGGTGATGTTGCAACCTTAGATGATAAATGCAAAGCCTTCTCGTTCAAAGTGTCTAACTGCAGAAAGAGAACAGAACTTTTTATGAATTCATCATTTCAACATAGTAAATGCTTGTACAAGGTCATCACTCTACCTGATATATGTAGCTCTCGGTGAAGGACAGAATGGGAAGGTACTTAAATATCTCCCTTGGTTTGCTAGCATCCAATCCATGAAACATAAAATAAGACCTGCACTGTAATTTTACCAATAAGTGTATTAGGTTGATATCGACAACATTTAATGTATGAAGTGTTTGAATAAGAATACAAGGAACATATCCAAAAGCACTTTTTGTTGAAACCAACAGAAAATCATACCATGTACAAAATTTCTACAATAATACAACTTTCCTCTTGATTCAGGTAATTTTTGCCACGAACAAGGACTTTCAAACATTAACATACTCTATGGAGGCAAGAATGCAAGTCATGCTATTAAGACCAGACCAGTGATTTAACTAAATTGTTTTAAACAGAATACCTTTATTTCTCAAAGTTTCAAAATTTGTGAGCTAATTTATAAAACTGTATTAAGACAACCTACAAAAAATAATATTAGGTTTTTATAGTAAATAAAGCTTTTATGAAAATACAGAAAAATTTTACAGATGAAGGTTGCAAAACAATACAAAGACTATGTATTTTTGTAGCTCTAGCACTAAACCATGTCAAAATTATGGTCTAAAACAAAATTTTTTGAATACTATCTTGGCACATAACAGGTCCACTGAGAGTATCAAAAACTTGTCCTGAAATAAAAAGAATGCACCATTATCAACATGGCACCCGTATTATTAATAGTTCCAATTTTAAATTATGCCCTTTAGTGGCTGTTGCTACGTTGTCAAATTGAAATTGGCAAAAAATTGAGATGCAGATTGGATTCAAGCAAACCTACTTGGTCTGGTTAGGTTTTAAATTGGTTTTAGGTTTGTTGAATCAATTTCTATTGGTAAGATTGATTAGATAGAGATTAGTCTCTTTTAACTCTGATGCTTAAATCTGTCAATATTGTTTTCTCTTTTTTTTGCATTTCTTGGAGGCAAATAAAAAGCAGCTAAAGAAGGTGACTATCTTCAGATTCTATTATTCATGAGTGAACAGTAACCCAAGTGAACAGCAGATACAAATGGTGTAGTGCCTCATTTAGATAAATTGGACATATACTGAGAAATATCATGGGCTTTGTAAATTGTAATCATATTCTTCCTTTTTTTCTGTGTTCTCATCCTACATCTAATCTCCTTCTTCCTTCCATATCTTCTTTCTCCCCACATCCTATGTCTTCATCAGAAGTCACATAAGTTTGCTTATCAGAGCAGACAACCATCATGTTCCAGCATGATGGCCAGTTCAGTAAAGATCAAGGAATTTAAGGTAACAAACAACTTACAAAATCCTCCAAGGTGGAATTGGCTTGTTTCATTGCATCCAGCCCAATCATAGGTATTTCTTTGATTTTTGATAAATCAATATCCAGGTCTTTTTCCACAGAAGACTGCAACGAAGGCCCAGTATGAATCTGTTGGCAATCTGAACAAATAATTAGATTTTATTATATGAACACATCATGCAACTAAAACACATTGTGAAACTACATCAAGAGTATTAAAAAAAATTTCCAATTAAATAAAAAATGCTTCTCAAGGCTCGGCAGTAGATCCATATGGGGATCTTCAGAAAGTAAAAAATAATGATTGTTTTAATTTTTTTTTTTTTGCGAAATTCATTAAGCGCTGCTATAAACAACAAGATTAAACATCAAGTTTTTTAACATCCTAACTAATAGTTCTGAGACAACATAATCAACCAAACCCAAGTGAATCATAAAGAAATTTTTACATAATTAGGGGCACATTTCCATCTTTCAGGTCAATCACTCTGGAATGTCAATGTGGAAGTGGTTAAAAACAAAGAAAGCATACTTCCATCTTCTTGGTTAAAAGCACATTATTTTCATAATGTAGAATTAAAAGGCATGCACAGACTCAGTAATTATCATACTATCAGTAGGTAATTACATTGCAAAACAGTAATTTCCTACTTAATTCAGTAGGCAGGAATGACTTCATTGCAGACACTATCAAGATATCAAAGCAGTACAAAAAAAAAATAAAAGCAGTCCAGTTTAAGTTAAAAATCATAGCAAGAAAACTAACGGAATTTCAGATTGTATCCAATGTTTTCTTTCTTTTCTATGCCTTCCTTATTGGCAAAGATAAAAGCTTCTTCAAGAACCTCAGATGAAGTCTGCTAAATGAAAAGAATAGTTGAGAACAGTAGAAAACATTATCTCACAAAACTAAACCTGAAACATCAAAGCAAATTCAACCTTTGGTAAAAAATCAGAAATTATTCTGCATCTGTCCTCCACAGTGAGAATCCCGCATGGTTGCACCTGCATGAACTCCTCATCATATCGTAAATACATACTATCAGACAAACCTACAAGATGATAGTTTATGAATAATAGTATACGAAACACTACGACAAGAACAGTTAAGGTTGAATAAACTGCAAATCTGATGCAGCTACATGATGCCACATTGTTCAAATGCAAGAATTGACATTATGTTTTCCAGAAAATCTCATTTGTGATTGCTGTTTAACAACATAAAAACATCATTCACAATATAACTTATAAAGGATATCCACATTTGTGTAAAGCTTAAAAATACTGTTTATGAGTACAAGTCCAGTGTACCTGCTATTGTTCCATTATGTTCCAAGAAATATATGCTATTCAAAAAGCACTTGACAGTTGCCTATAGTTATCATACTGAAAAGAGTTGCAAAAGTGAACACTCAATTGGATTATTAAAGTTTGTGATTGACACATTTTTTTCACCAAGTACAAAACAAGAAGTTCTGAAGGTCCATCACCGAACTTAGACATGACACTAGAACCAATAAATTTGACAAGGAAAAGAAATAGCAAGTTGAACAAAGTAACAGAAAAAAAGAATACCCATTCACTAAATGACCAATCAAAAGTTATGGCCAGGAATATGCCAATGAATCCCAGTCCTCAAGTAGTGCGACCCGGGGTCCAACAAAGAATAACTCAGACAATCTGTACAGAGTAGAAACATGACTGACAAGTAATTTCTGAAAGGATGTTATTTCTCAAAGCTAATTCCAGATGCAATGTCCAATACAGGCAGACACAAAACAACCAATTCATATGCAGTATGCAGTACCCATCCAAATCACTTTTGGAACACCAAACTACTTAAATTCTGATCTAACCCCAGAGACAAGCTAGAATTTCTGCACACAGTCATGCATTCGACGGCAATTACTACCGAAAAACCAACATTAAACCCTTCCAAGAAAGGAACCAGCATAAAGAAATTATGCTTTTCAGTCACCGGATCAATAAGCAAACCCGAGCCAAAAAAAAAGGAACCTATTTTTCCCTTACTATTCCCAGTTTTTAGGTTTTGCAAGACAGAAAAAAAGATTCAATCAAATAATCTTCTGTTATTTGTAGAGGCTTCCCAATCACTAGTTCACTCAACAACCAAGAAAGTGCAAGCGAAACAACCACTTCGGAGAAAATATTCCGTAACAAAAATAAAGTGGGGAAAAGAGAATCAAATATGATTCTTCTCTTCAAAGTTCTTCTTTTGTCGATTACATCAGAAAACACTCTCACGGACGATTCGTGGAGAGAATCACGACACAGGTTCGCGATCCGAGACGACGACCCAAATCCAAGGGCACGAAGAAGGGGAACGGGGAGAAAGAAAGACAAAGCGGGGTGGGGAATGCAAAGACACCAACCAGAAAGAGAACAAAGTCGGCGAGGAAGCGATCGGCGTCTCGATGGCTGGAGGAGAGGCCTCGAGCCTCCATCAACGACAGCAGGCTTTGAACCCTTTCCAGCTTCTGCAGGGCTTCCATCACTCCTCCCTCTTCGTGCGAACGAGATATGTCGACGGCAGCCTTTCTCGGAACAAAATGTTAACGAGGCAAAATTTAATATATATATCCCTCCAAAATTAATATTTTGTATATTTACTCTTTTTTAATTTAACTTTATCGTTCGTATAATGATTTTAAATTCCATTTTCAAAAAATATTTAGAAAATTTTGATATCTCAAATAAAGATATTATATAATATTAAAATTGGAGAGGGATAAATATTAGACGGAAAGATATGTAAAACTCCCTAACAAAATAATAATTTTCACCAAAATCTCGATAAACAACACAACTCTACACACGAATAAATCCGTTTGACCTTCAAAATTTCTTTGTATATTCCTCGAACAAATAAACCACTATCAAATTTGCTATTATTTTTAAAAAAATTAGGATTAAACCACTGTTTAGTTGATTGATAGGGATATATATGACTAGTTAGGATGAACAAAATTCATATTTGGTGAAGATGTGAGTTAATTATACCAGTAAAGATTTTGATGGTTTAGCATATTATCTTGGGCTATAGGATCCTTTGAAAAAAACACATATTTGATAGATTTTGCTGCATCCAAAATATAATATTTCTCTGTGTTACCAAAATTCATATATATCATCATGAAATTATTATTTGACCTTATATAAGATTCCTCAATCAATTGTTTCCTTCACCCTCTAGTCTCCAGGGAGTCCCAAGACAAAGGAATGCATCAATAAAGAGCCAAAATGCTCCATCCTCAGAGGCAGGACAAAAAAATACACCAAAAAAAGCGTTGGATTTTATATGAGATGCATAATGACCTCAATCTTTTGATAGACCTTTATAACTCTATCCCTTGGAGTGAAAATCCAGGAGTTTGAACAGGATGTAATGCATATCAAGATTCTTCTTATTGGAATTTAGATATGCATACGCTCACATCTTTACAGGAAATCATTTTAGTTTTCTCCAATGCGATGTTAAGAAAAAATGTCTTCCTGAAGCCTTACAAAAGAAAATCCGGGTGTGCAGCACTTAGGCTGTCATTGCCTTCCCCAGCATGTCTTTCTGACTGGAACCCTGGCTGGCTGTTTTGTTCTTTCTTTTCAGGAACTGAGCTATTAGTTCCCGCTCTACCTTGTCCTACGAAGTCGCTCTTGCTATCGAATAATCTCCCAGCCTTCCCGATTGCAAGGATCAATTCGAGCTGCTTTTGTTGTTGTTCCTATAGCACAGCACAACATGAAAACAAGTTAGGGGCAAGAACACAAGATAACTATCATGGTTGTCAACATGAATTTATCATTGCAACACTAGTAGCATTCAATCTGCATTGCTCTAACATGAGGTGAAAATCCAGTTCTAAATTAGTCACCAACTTGTCCAGCCAAATGTTAAGTTTGGGTTACATGCAATGGCGACAGCAATAACAAGATGGGATAGTGAGATAAAGCAAATTGCTAAATGTTATACATAAAACTGTGAATGAAACCATGACCTTGAAAACATAATGAATGTGGTCTGGTCTGTTTTTTATGTTCTTAATAAGTACTACATGTTATACAATCCCAGGTTGACTCTGTCAAATTGAGAAAAAAGAAAACAATTCAATGATGGTCTAATATCACAGAGGAGCAAATGTTCAAAAGCCACCCCCCAAAAGCGTGCGTATGCAATTGCACAACAGCAGCACTTGGATCAGCAGACTAAGACCATATGTAGCAGCATATACGGTGACATATTAATGGGTATATGGGATTTTTGCGAGTCATTGTTTTCTTTTTCGTTTTTGGATGGAAGAATTTTATCGGTCTCAATCTATAGCATAGTTAACTGCTACCTCATATCAACGTCACTAACCATGAGGCAGTAATTTCAAATTTATGTTATACTGATAGTAGTGCTACTGCTACCTCATATCAATGCCAAAGGCACAAAAGCTGACTCTAATTGTTGACTATAGGAAAACGCAATTATCTAAATAGCACAACATCAAAACTTCAAAAATTCTACAGTTGGGAGGAACAGTAACCCATTTGGTTGGATGACTTAATTATGAGAACATAAAATTTCTCGCTCTCATAGCTTACTGCTATTTCTATTTTTTTTATTCGGTGCTGCAAAATCAACAGAACTAACATTTAAAAAGTTTTCCTAGAGGAGACTCACCTGCATGGCCAACAAGACCTTCTGAATTTCACTAAGCTCCTTCTCAAGAATATCTTCTTGCATTGCTAGTGCCCGAGTAGCTTCGGAGTTCTTTTGTGATAGAGCTGCGGTCTGCAGCATAACATTACACAAAATTAGTGAGTATCACAACAGATCAAATGTTTTAATCTATTGGAGTTGTTTAAAATTCTTGGACCACAAGATTAACAAGATGAGTGTCTGAAAGCCAATCAATTTTGTTTTGTTTCTTTTGATGTTTCCAGAAAAGCTACTGGTGCAAGGTATATTTGAAGTCGTATTCTAAGTGAGTCAACCCACTGTAAATATTATTCTTCACCTCCTTTCATAACCCTTGTCCATGAAGTACCATAGCTATTCTTGTCACAATTTTACTAAATTCAGATATGTCTTACGGTCGCATTTTCACTATTTTAAACTACGTGTGAAATTTAGATTGAAGCTGATAAACTTAAAAAGAGCAAACAAATGATAATGCTTTAACTTATTCCAATGGCTTCTCAACCAACACTAACCCTATGTCATCTTTCCTCATGCAAAATAAATATTATAGAAGCTAGCAAAACAACTAAGAAATGTAATCTGCACATGGTCTTTAATCCTTTCACATCTATGATTCCTAGCATGCCAAGCCAATCAAACCATCCTCGATAAAGGCAGAACAGATTGGCTAAAAGTTACAACATAACAAATATGTATAAGAAACATGTCCTTGCATTTTCCCTCATTACAGTATATATAGACCATGAAAAAAAGGGACTAATGGTCAGCGAAACTAAGAAACACCTTAAACCTTGATTAGATCGAATTTGTTCCTGATGTTGAGATGGTCTTAAGCACCAAAGATACATGAAAGAGCCAAATATCAGAAGAGCCAATTATCTTTCCAAGATAAAATCAGGATAAGGTTCAAACTCAGATAACAAGTTGAAAAGAAACAAGTAAGAAAATAAGAACTGCAGCTGAAATCAGAGAACAAGCATACCTCAGCAATTGGCTCCTTCAAGGTCTTCCTAGTGACCCTAAACTTAATTCCTAGCTTTTCAAGCTGCCTGGACAGCACCCTAATTATTTTGACCGAACTCCGTAGATCGTCCTCCACCTTTTCAATCCTCCTAATCAAATCAAAACTCATTCCAGTCTCATTCCCCATATAAATCCTCCGCCATTGCCTCCAACGAATCAAACTACCAATCGCCACCGCCGCAACCAACAAAATGTACTGAAAAACAACTTTGCTACCCAGGAATACTTGGAACGGTTTGGACGCACCCGGAAGGACGGAACTCACAAGACACCAGATCGAAAATACAGCGGAAGGTGCAACGCAGAGTACTTCAGCAGCCCAAAGAATGTGATCCAAGCTTTGCCGCCCCGGGGCCTCCCTGTCTGGACGCCGATGAACACCTTCACCTGGAAAAAATCAAATCTTTAAGCTTTGTCCCATTTTAACTTTCCGCAAGAAATAGTTGGGACGGAGATTTAATATTACCGGACAAGGATGCCCCAGTCCGCCACCGAGATGCATCTGATGACGCATTCGCGGCCTTGTGCGGCGGCACCGAATGCCTGGGCGGCGAGAAAAGTTCCCAAGAAGTGGGAGAAACAGCGAAACGAGCGAACTTTACGCGATTTGCGCAAACGAGAAGCTGGCAAGCTCGACGAGGACGAAGAGCTCGCAATGGACTTGGACCACACGCAGCGGTGGCAGCAATCGGCATCCTTTCCGGCAGAGATTTCGATCGGTTGCACTGCCTTCAGAGCCGGTGAGACACGCAAGGTGCACGCATCGGATCGTCGTCGTCGGTGATGCGAACTCCACCTAGGGTTTTGGAAAGGATGGAGGAGTGGACGCCGTCACAAGGTGCATCGTAAGATCCATCAGAAAGGGAGGCTTAGATACGCCAGAATACTACCAAGATTGATTTCAGGGTTTCGACGCTTGTGGACCACAGCGATGACATCAAGGATTGTGGATGAGACAGCCTCAACCGATTCGATGACCGTTTGAGAGGCGGAGGATCGCCAATGTTCCAAAGACTCGACAAGTACATGAATCGATTGACAATATAAAATAATATTCTCAGTTAAATTAAATATATATTAACTCTTTATTTAGAATTTTTAGTAAGTCTTTAGGATCTCCTTCTGTCACTCCTCCATCTGGTCTAACAAACAGCATAAAAGCTCCTCTTAAGACAAACCTGTATAACATGTTTTCTTGAATCCAAGATCGCATCAAGGTCAATGTTGGATGCAAAACTCCCAAAGAAGCAGACTGCAGTTGACTTGAGCACTCAATGCAGTTCGACTGATATGAAATCTATAGAACCTGAAGAAATGCACAACTCTGTGGATTGCAGAACATAAGATGCAGCTAACCACTTCCAACACTTGCCGGAAGCTCGATTCTGACGAACAAAAACCTGCATTGGCAATTAAAGAGTCGAAAGACATCGGAATAGAGAAACTCGGGTTTCGGTCATCCTGTTTGTTTGAAGTCCCAACAGAGGTATCGAGAAATCCGAGTTCTGCAGAATTCTATTTTCTTGTGCTGTTGATTTCAGATGAAAACAAATATAGAGTTATCAGGTCAAATGTGGCATATCATTTATGCATGATGTTATCACAGAAAAATTAGAAGCACCAAAAAAACACGCAACACCAAAAATGTGTTCATCCACCAAAAATAGGAGAGGTGGGATGCATATATAAGTCATCGGTATTAAAAGTATCCAGACAATGTTAACCCTGCAAGATGATCTCTTAAAGAACATGAGTGAGTGGCTCATAAGACAAATGAAAAATGATCCGAGACAGGATACCCAATTATCATAACAAAGTCAGATGATATGAAGCATAGAGTTTGTACACATTTAAACACCTGAAATATCGAGAAATATCGAGCCAGATTATTTCCATTCTCCAAGGAGAAAAACAAACATAGGCAAAAACTTGACCCCCCCACCGCCAAGGCAATCCAACCTATCAGAACCTATCATATAGCCTAAGCAAAACTGCATTGCCTTGCAGCCTACTGTCAAACTATCAACAAGAGGAACAGTTTTACATAGAAATCTCCTTGCTAACATACAAGATGCTAGTCAACTAGACAAAAAAAACCTAGTCCAGTAATTACAAATGTAAACATAATACACTCATTATCAGCCAATTCTTATCCATCGATTGGTCCAGAATTTCATTGATCAAATTATAAGATCATAACTTTTGAATCTGACGACTGATAATAACAGTTTGAAGAACAGGACATTATATATTGTATAACTTGTTCTTGCCTGTCCCATGGTAGATTTCTTCCGTTTGCCGAGTATATTCCTGCTTCCTCAGAACTGAAGTCACTAATTTAAAAGATTCAACTTAAGGCTAAAAACTCACTTTTCTTTAAAGTATTCCAATGAACTTTCAGAAAAGTTACTATGTCTAAAACTTTGGTTACCAGTTAGGAGTGCGCAGATATAAAACAAAAGGATAGTCGATGATTCTAGTCCAAAAAGTTCTTTTTTCACATGATGAATTGTTGGCACCAGTCCTCCAGTCTCATCTCTCTAGACTTGCTACGAAAGGAACGGGTAGAGAGTCGTACCATAAGAAAAGCAATGAGGTCAACTTACTCTATCAGGAGAAATTTTAATCAATCAAGCAGGGAAAGGTTATTGGGCTCTCTCTTTGGCTCTAGATCTGCCTTGTTTTTAGTGGTAGAAGTGTAACTCATTCTAATAACAACTCTATCAGGAGAAATTTTAATCAATCAAGCCGGGAAAGGTTATTGGGCTCTCTCTTTGGCTCTAGATCTCTTTGTTTTTAGTGGTAGAAGTGTAACTCATTCTAATAACAACTTAAATAGATCAGGGGCTTTCCAAATTTCTTTTCTACAACCAAATAAGGAAATATATATTTCTTCAAATGGTTAATCCTTTATCCCATCTTTGCAGGATTAGGAAAATGAGACCGACCAGCCTGTAACACGTCTTCTGTACATAACATACTGAGAAACAACACCTTCAACTAAGATAATCACTTAAGTGAGATTTCAGAAATGACACTTCTAAACCATCATTGCATTAAGTTCCCTGTTAAAAAAAAAAGGAAATAATCTTTTCTTCGGGAAGAGTACATGTCCTGATAGCAGACAACAAAGCACGTGAAAAGAGGGCTCTATTTTAGCCAAGCAATGTAAAATGCCACACATCTATATTGGTCACCTTGTGCCCAACAGCTCTCATTCTGCATTGTTACCAAAAGAATGAAAAAGACAGTGGAAACAAAAAGAACAATTGAAATATATAGAACGATTTCTTTAGAAAATATTCATATTTTAAGTATTTCCCAAAAGGAACCCCCCCCCCCTCCTCTTTTGCCTTCTCCCAAACAGTACCCCTAACTTGAAAAATACCTAAAATGCCCCCTCAAAAGTTTTTCTGCCAAATTTTTTCACCAGTGTTTTTATGGGTTTTCAACTATTACAGTGTTTTCATTTGGCTCCTTTACAGTGTTTTATTGAAACACTGAGGTACTTCAAACATTATTGAAAAACAATGTAAGTAGCATCATATTGTGTCTTTTGATTGTCATTGCTCATATACTATTATAATACCATATTTTTAGGCATGTAGTTAATTTGATTGAGATTAGGAGTCTATTTAGATCATTTACAGTGTTTTCGAGTAGGCCTTATAATGTTTTTATTGTTGTGGTCTAAGCACTGTAATAGGTAGGAAAATTTTTGAGGGATAATTTGGGGTTTTTTTATTAGCGATACTGTTTAGAAAAAAGCAAAATGGGGGCACTGATTGGGAAATACCCAAAATGTGGGTATTTTTTAGGGAAATCGCCCAAATAGATACTGTAATATTGTAATTCAATAAGCTAGGAGCCTGTCATTGGGACAGAATACAACGAAAATAACATAAAGTCACCACTTCTAGAGCATTTTATTCATTGTAATGCATGGACATGAAGAACACAAAAGTGAGGTTCACAACTTTGAAAAATAAAGGTTACTGCAACAATATCATAGCAAAGAAAAAAACAGCATGCTTAATGTTAACTATAAAGGCAAAACAGAACCAAAGAAACAAAAACTTTGATTCTGTTTCTAATAGCAAAACTTGGTCTACTTGTAATGATCAAGTAAAAGCCTGATACATCTGATAACTAATAGACAATAGCTGTACAGATCTTTCATTATGGACCAGTTTAAATTGACAAGGTGGTTTTGGGTTTAGTGATGGTAAACAATTAAGTTAGAAAGATAAAGCCCACAAATGATTGAATATATAATTACATCGCATCTTATCACTTGTTCTCCACTGTTCTGCTTAAGTTATTTCTCCATTACACTTCTCTAACCTTCTGGCGAATAAAATCCTGAAGACAATACTAACTTTTGCATACCTTGACCAAGAAATCCTCAAAAATCACCATTGTGATAACCCCTCCATCCGATTACGTGAAGCATGATATTGCAAACAAGTAATCAACAATGTAGGTATCAATGGCTGACCTAAAGTTCCACAGTAAATTATTAAGTGTATGATATTGATGTGCACATGCTAAATGATACTAGCATTAGTAAAGAAGACAGCATCTTTATAAGTGCCCTCAGTGATCAAATCCCTCTGGTGAAACCAGAAAAGCATATATTACCCCATTTCTACAGCTCCATCCTACGGATGTGTATAAAATGAGAAATAAAAGGTAGAAGAAAAAAGCCTTAAGGGCGTCAATAAACAAAATAAAGAGGAAAAAGCCCAATAGCTCGTCAAAATCTGGTCATTTTTAATGGTGAAAGAAACAACAAGGACAAGGGCGTGAGGTTGCATGACCTTTTGTTGCAGCCTATAGATTATGAGACTTCTTGGGCTTCTTGGCCGGTGGGAAAGCACCGGCTATCTTCTCCAGGAGGCACCGCTGTGATTCCATCAGCATCTCCGCTCTCTTCGTCTCCATCTCCATCCAATCCCTCTTCATCTCCCGCATCAGCTCCCTTCTCCTCTTTTCCATCCGCACCAAGCGGTCGCCGAATCCCCTCACCACGGCCGCCATCTGCGACAAGGCCTCCGCTTCACCTGCGCCATCCGCTGCCTCCTCCTCTGATTCATCTTCGTCGTTTTCTTCCTCGTCCTCAGCCACCATCTCAAAACCTCTCCTTTTGGGAGGTACGAGGCTCCTCGCAACCCTAGAGGAATTCCAGCTGGAATCCCGAAGAATCCCGTTGATGCTTCGGGTGTTGTTCCGCTCGTCCTCATCCTCGTCCTCACGGTCGTCGTCGTCCTCCTCGTCCTCGTCGGTGGACTGGGCGGCGGGAGGAGGCGGCGGGGGCCGGAAGGTGATAGGGAGGGGCCCGCGCTCCATGCGCTCCATGCGGTTAAAGAAGGGCCAGGCGGAGGGGACGGGGCGGAGGCGCTCGGCGCGGTAGCGCTTGCGGAGCTTCTCGACTTTGTGACGACACTGGGTGCCAGTCTTGGATGGCTCGTCGAGACCGCAGCGTCCGGCAACTGCGGCGGCGACGTCCTCCCACTGCCGGGCCTTGAGCTGACCGCGCTTCAGAGCGTACCACCGCTCCTCGTAGGCGTCGATCAGGTGAGCGGTCTCGATGTGGGACCAGGGCTGGCCGGGGGCGGACTTCCGCGACGCCAGCGCCGGATGGCCGGGGCGGCGCTCCGCCGATCCGGCGGCGGTGGCCATTGTTTCGGCGGCGTGGAGAGGGATGGGCTGGAGAAGATTAGGGTTACAATTTAGGTGGGAGGGAGTCGGTGTTGTGACATGGGGTGGGGAAATAGGAAGACGTTGGGGAGCGAGTCGGGCGGTGCTCGAGGGGCGGTGGCGATGGTGCGGGATAAGGCTTGGGTGGGCCTGGGAAGTTGAATGGCGAACCGGCCCGATTTTTTACTTTGGACCGGACCGATCGAGTGGGGTATAAAGAGACGCTCTGCGAAGACACTTCGAATATTTGCTTGTAAAAATCCTGCAGCTAATTATATATTATCCTATATGCTCCTATTAATATCATAATTTTTATATTTAAAAAGTTATATTATAATTTTTATAGTTTTAAAAGTAAAATAAATAATTCTATTTATTATAACATCGTCAGTTGCATTGACGAAAAATATAACACGTAATATAATTACCATGAAAGTAATGAACAAAAAATAATTTCAACATCTCTTTTATTTTCAATACATGAGATATTAAAATTATTTTTTTACTGATAAAATCATTGGAACATAATAGATGTTGAAATTATCTTTTTATTCATCATTTTCGTATCTGATTGACGATGTTAAAATAAATAAAATTATTTATTTAATTTTTAAAATTATAAGGATCTTAATATAAATTTTTTAAGTATAAGAATCACAAGAAATAATATATAATTAGCTTATTTTTTTAATATAATTTGTTTGCAAAAATTAAAGACATCTTTTTAAGATTGAACAAACTTAATGATTAATTGTGAAAAAAAATGAATAAAATAGGGAGGACAATAGGATCAGACAAAATAAAATTATTTTTTCAGGATCTTTTCGTTGAGTTTATTGAGTTAGATGCAGAGATGATCTCATTCATGGAGAAGAGAAATGACAAGAGGAGAGAGCAAGATAACATTAGAGCAGACAGCCAGAGAGACAATAGACAGACTAAACTGCCTTTAGAGGCCAAACTGAGAACAGCTCCAACTGAAAAGAATTTCAGACAATCAATCAACATTCAGCTTCTCCTTTCAGAATTTGTCAAACAGATTTTTATAATTTATTTTTCAATCCTCATGCCAAGAACAAACAATTATCTTTGGCGTACATAGGTAGCACAAATAGTAGGGAAGAACCACAAGATAACACTGTTATGAAGCTCATATCCGATTACCCAGAGCACAAACACATCCGGAAAGAAACGAATAATTCAGGACCTTCCAGCATTTTTTTGTGATGCTAGTCTCCTTCAAAGACCCAGGGTGGGCAAGGAGTTGAGCTGACCGAAGGATGTGGATGCGATCCTTCTCTTTCTTAGCCGCTCGGCGATGATGAAGGCCAGCTCAAGAGACTGGGAGGCATTGAGCCTGGGGTCACAGTGGGTGTGGTAGCGTGAAGACAGGTCATCGAATGTGACGGTCCGCGATCCACCGATGCACTCTGTCACGTTCTGGCCGGTCATCTCCAGGTGCACACCCCCTGGATGGCTTCCTTCTTGCTCATGGACGTCAAAGAATGCTCGAACCTCAGCCTAAGGAATGGGTAAAACTTTGATTAGTGCTACTGAAAGCAATGAGCACCCAAAATAATGCAGCTACAGCTGTTGAAAATGATCCAAGACACTCTTATTTTATACATCACAGGCCCCACTAACATTGCACATTGAATGAAGATTGGACTCACCAACTACTCTTATGACTTTTCATCAAACTATAAAACAAGAAAGCAGTTCAGTAGGCAATAGAAAATTGGACTTGATAAGCACTTGACCCTTTAACCCAACTTAATCCCAACTATTATTGCAGAGCAGAGAATGTATTGGAGATTGGCATGACAAAGCAGTTGATCTTTCTCATTTATGTTCAACTTTCAATAAAATGAGTATATCAAGTTTTTGGTGCATCCACTTTATGTGTAGTCCAAGGAACATGAACATTCCTGACTAAAAGGATTGGCATTATCACAAGTGGGGAATAGAATAGAAGGAGATAAAGAAAATATACCAGAATTGAGTCGAAAGGTCGAGTCTTGAGACCACAAGGGGCTTTGATGGTATTCCCGTGCATCGGATCACTGACCCAGGTTACAATCTGTCCAGCTCCCCGGACTGCCCGAATCAGATGAGGGAGTTTCACTCTCATCTTATCTGCCCCCATCCTTGCTATAATGGTGATCCTCCCTGGCTTGTTTTGAGGGTTTAAGATCTCAATCAGCTTCACAAGCTCCTTGGGGTCCATCTTGTCACTCACCTATATCAATTGAACAATCGATCATGAGCTAGATATGTAAAATATGATCCTGGCATTCAAAAGTTTGAGCTTTTGTAACTCTTTTTTGAGCTTTAATAGTAGCAAAACAATCCAGTTGCCGCACAAGAACATGGATTTTAACTTTCCAACAGATGAATGTTTGACTGGTGTCATCGATCTGAAATGCACTGGAGAGAATGGACTCCTCATCTATAACGAGAAGATCAAATAAATATTATTCTTACCTTGATGCCAAGAGGGTTGGCAACGCCACGAAGAAACTCGACATGGGCACCATCAAGTTGGCGTGTCCGCTCTCCGACCCAGAGGAAATGGGCAGAGCAATCATAGTAGAGGCCAGAGGTAGAGTCCTCACGAGTGAGAGATTGCTCATAGGGGAGGAGCAGGCACTCATGGGAGGTCCAGAACTCAGTGGTGGTCATGATAGGATGGTCCATGGTAAGCCCAGCAGCAGCCATGAACCCCAGGGCCTCGTCCACCCGGTGGGCCAGCTCCTGGTACCTGTTAGTGACATAACAACAACTTCAGCTCCAACCAGACTAAATCCACCAAAGAAGAGTTGGTGATATTATACAATAGATCAGTAGACTTCTCGAAGATTTGTTTTCCGCCCAAAGAAAGTGGAAATAATCAAAGGATTGACCGACTTCTATGTGATAGATGAGAGAAAGATGAACGAAATTGTCATGAAAAAGAAGAAAGCATTTTATATATATAAACGTGAATACATGTCCATTCATTCGATTGATACACACAAGAAAAAAAAATGCAATAGACAATTCTACATCAAAGTATGCAACAATCAAATTTAACATTTTTGTCTAAATTTCTAATACTCTAAAAAAGGTCCAAGAAGAGAAAAGGTAATAGATGGAATCAACAAAAAGTACATAAAAGATCAAGCTTTATAACAAGGAAAACATAGTAAAAGTTCCTCTGGAATAATTTGTCAAAAGTCCAAATGGGAAGACACTGAAAAAAGGAACAAAGTACAAGCATGTGTATATACATCAAAAATATCAAATCTACAGGAGGCAGCATAACCAAAGAAAAAAAACAGATCATAAATCGAACGATTTAGTCAAAATTCGTGAGAAAATTGTTCATATACCATGGAAAATTGAGATTTGTTTCTCAACAGAACGAGCAAAAATACAGCAGCATAGCCATAAATTGATGAGAAAAAGTGTTCGATGGTCGCGTACCTGTCTCCCTGCTCACTGTGCTCGGTGAAGTCCAGGTTCCACTGCGTGACGCGCTGCATAGCGGCGTAGCCACCTGTGGCGAATGCGCGGAGCAGGTTGAGAGTCGCCGCCGCCTGGCAGTAGGCACGGATCATCCTCTGCGGGTCGGGAATCCGCGACTTCTCGTCGAACGCGTCGCCGTTGATGTTGTCCCCTCTGTAGCTAGGCAGCTTCACCCCATCCTTCTCCTCAAACGGATCCGACCTCGGCTTCGCGAACTGCCCCGCCATTCTCCCCACCTATCGAATGAAATCAAACAAAAATCCCCAGATCGAGATCTTTATTTCAGTCACCAGATCTGGCGAGATCGGAGGCGATCTTAAAGGTAGGATCTTGATGTTACCTTGACGACGGGCATCTGTCCACCAAACATGAGGACGGCGCCCATCTGGAGGAGGATTCGGAAGGTGTCCCGAATGTTGTTGGCGTTGAACTCCTTGAAGCTCTCGGCGCAATCGCCTCCTTGGAGGAGGAACGCCTTGCCGAGCGCGGCGTCGGCGAGGCGCTCCTCTAGGTGGCGGGCCTCGCCGGCGAACACGATCGGGGGGAAGTTCTCGATCGTCCGCAGCACCGAATCCAGCTCCGCCTTGTCCGGGTACTCCGGCTGCTGGAGCGCCTTCTTGGCCTTCCAACTTTCCACCGACCACTTCCCCGGCTTCGCCTCTGCTATCGGCGCCGGTTCCTTGATCTTGATCGGGTTCTTAGCAGGCTCAGCGGCGTGAACAGCGGAGATGGGGCGAGCGAAGGCCCTTCTCCGGCCGGCTCGGACAAGAGACGGTAGATAAGCCTGGGCGGCATCGGAGGAACAGGGAAGGGGCTGGTGTCGGGGGAGGAGGGAGGTGTTGCTCGCAAGGGCCATGGCTCTACTTCTCTATCCCCGGCTAGAATAAGAGGCTTAGAGAGAGAAGAGTTTAGGTTAGAGCAACACTTCCTAAGGAGCGAGGAAGAGAGCGGTAGATTTATAGCCCGCGAAAGGGCGCGGGGTTGGTGCGAGATGGAGCCGATCAGAAGTCGCAGTAGGGCATTTTGGGAACTTCGCAAAAAAATCTCAATTAACATGAGCTAATTTATAAACTTTAACACATTTACGTCGATTTCTACCTGTTCAGTAATTGGAAACTCTTCGCCGGGACCCCATGTAGTTCCAATCACCAGATTGGTAGAATTAGGTAAGCGAGCACTGCTCAAGAGTCAGTCTGATCTGTTAATTGACATTCTGCAAAATAATTAAGTAACCTGTTTTGTGACTGGAGATTGAAGCGGGGCCCACGTGATGGTAGGATCATTTAGTGGAAATTTGAAGTCGACTGGAAAAGCTAATCAACTTAAATGACGCATTTGCCCCGGTTAAGAAGCCCAACCATGGTCATAAAAAAAAGGCCAAAAAAACCTATCCTGGTACCACCCAGCATACACGTACCGTCTCCACTTCGAAAGCGCCGTGGGCCCCAGTGAGCTCGCATAGTGACGGACCGCAAAGCGTTCCGTGGGTGGGTGGAGGCGGCGATGAGGGTAGGTAAGGACACGCGCACAGCACGTTCTGATTGACCGCAAGGTGGGTACGGGTCTGTGTTGGCGTAAGAAAAAGCCACGTTGCCTCCCCCGACGTAGGCGTGGCGTGCTTGCCATGGCACTGAACGGTGGTTGGTGGCTGACCTGACTCGGTGCACCTTGCCGAACACATTCTACCAAGTTGGGCCAATCAAAAATAACAATCACATGATAAATCAAACATCCCAAATTATGATCGGAGAGATTTAGAGGATGGCCATCTATACGATTCAGCGAATCAGCCATAGTGGTGGGGGAGTCTCAAGTCTTAGTCAAGCTTATCATGGTCTTAATTGAACAACAAAAACTCACTTTGTAGAATTATTAGAAAAATAGACCCTGATATGATCTTTATTTTAATTTCATACAAACACCAAAAAAAATCTATGATATATATTGATTTCTTTGTTCCTAAAAAAATAATAAAATGAAAAATAACCCCATGTGTGATGACCAGCCAGCATTAAAGAATGGTGGACCAATTCATGTGCAATCAAGTTTACCAAAGTCCCACCTACCACATATCAACATTATTTCACCTACTGAGTGGTGGATCAACAGCCACATCTAATGACTCTAATGCCTGTCAGGTGTATTTCTATCATTTGTGAACCTATACACAAAATATTGGGTGCGAATTAAATCATGAAATTATATTCTTGAACGTTTTGATTATGGATACACGAAATTGACGTACAACTCATATGCAACAAAATCCCTTCATGTGAATTGCGTGGAGGCAGCTACATAATTGGAGTGCACGTGACGTGTACGAGCTTAAAAGATTCAATCAGTGCATATGGCATACCAATAATGCGTCGACAGTTGAATTATTCATGTGGCCCCTCATGCATGCCACGTGTATCAGAATATTCTCTTCATTTGATCACTTGTTTTTCCTTTTTCCCGTTATTATTTTGTTTGTTGTTCGACCATTTATGGAGATGGGTTTTGAAGGTCAAGCCATGGATTTGACCGTCTCCAGAATCTTCAGGGTGACTAAGAACGTTAACCTGTAGAGCACAACCATGCCAAGCAAGATGGCAAGATCGATCCACTTGGAGTAGCCCATCTCGACTTGCCAAATGTCTCTCAATATCTCTTCTCCGGTGACGGTGGGCGGCCCTCTGGCTTGCTCATTGGGAAAGGTCAACCCCAAGAACTCGTTCTTGTAGAACCCCTGGTTGGCGTACTTGTGGAAGGCAACGTAGTACATGGGGTAGCGCCATACCGGGCCGGGCAGGTCGCGGGGCAGCCGGAAGAAGCCCCCGTTGAGCATCATTACCCCTTGGATCCCTGCTCCGGTAATAATGCCCATGAGGAAGTCCGGGACGACGCTCGCCACCATCATCATCAGCCCCTCCACGAGCATCATGCACATGAACAGCACGAGAGCGAAGTAGATGAAGTGGTCCGCCCCCCTCTGCAGGCCGACCAAGTAGTAGGCCATGGCCCCTGGGATCACGGAGATGAGAGCCAAGTACGGGGTGGCGGAGAGCGTGTTCGCAACGGTGAAGGCAGTCACGCCGTAGTGCCCGGTCAGTCTTTCTCTTCCAAAGATCTTGTTTGAATCCCAAAAGAACCAAGTGTGAGCAGTGTGATCTCAAGGCTGAGTGGCTTGTGGAGGAAGGATTTGAACCAACCTTCATGTCTTCTACGAAAGAGGGGAAGCCTCCAATCGCCATGAAGGTTAGGAAAGCAGCTGTGAACATGAGCATGGACCCTCTCGCCTGCAACATGTACGAGGGAATGACCATGAGCTTATAGGTTCTTAAACACGCTTGTCGAGGAGTGAACATTACTTGAATCGAGCCAAAACCGTGGCCAACATCAAAGTAAATTGTGCCCACGCAGAGGCAAAGCGCGATGTAGATGGCAAATCGCAGCCAGTAGTAGCCCAAGTCCCTGTACATGTTCACGAAGGATCGTCTCGTGAGCACAAGCGTTTGAACGAGGAAGCTCGCTTGGTTCCTCCTCTTCACGGAGGCTCCTCCCTGCAAGCAAAAGCCATGGAGTTCACATGCTCTGCAAATCGGACATGAACCAGGTTTAATCAACATCTCGATTACCAAATCATGTATCCCCGCTATTTCTCGTGTGACACGCTGCAGGGTATCCGAAGAGCTGTAAGACTTCACGAGGATCTCGATTGCTTCGGCAGTGCTGGTTCTTGTCTTGGACTCAGGATCTTGTTCGATATCCTGTAGGCATCTTCTTATTTTGTCATGGGGGAAAAATGGCAGATGAAAGGAAGAGGGAAAATATGGCACTGACCGTGTCGAAATCTTTGTTGATCGTCCTAAGATAGTGATCGGAAGGATTTGTCAGCGGAGGACAGGGGAAGGCGTGCACAGCAAAGAACTGGAACAACAAACTTCGATGTTACATCACTGATTTGTTCGCTTTAAGCTCACGAACTCGACATTGAACCGGCTTGCTGATGCTACCTCTTTAGCAGTGGAAGCTGGGCCGAAGAAGACGGTCTCGCCGTAGGCCAGGAGGCAGAGGCCATGGAAGAGGTCGAACACCTCGCTGCTCGGCTGGTGAACGGCCGCCACCACCGTCATAATCTCGCGTCGAGCGAGCCTCGCGATGCGGCTCATGACATGGTACGACGCAGCGCTATCGAGCCCGCTCGTGAGCTCGTCGAGGTACAGCAGCTGAGGGCGCGTCAGGAGCTCGATGCAGATGCTGACTCTCCTCTTCTGGCCGCCGCTGATGCCCGTGGCCCACAAGGCTTCCGTTTCCTACCTCCTCTGTTACGTGCTGGACGTCGTGACGAGGACTCCGGTTCACCAGAGGTGGTGGAGTGGGAATGTCACCGAACGGAAAGATGACATCGTCGCCGCCGGAGTTGAAGCCATCGTCGGCGATGGCTCGCGGCCGGCCTGGGCTTGGACTTGGAGTCCATCTGGGCACGCTCGAAGGGGAAGCCATGAAAGCTCAACGACTAACCGTGAGGCAGGGCGGTGGTGAGAGACGCCGAAACCAATAAATAGCCATGAACGCTGCATGGTCTCTACGTCGGAATGCTTCTACCCGAACCCAAAATTTCAACGTCAGTTAAAGTAGTAATGGCGGCCGGAGTCGGCAAGTACGAGTGGTGGTATGGAGGAGGAAGAGCTGCATGAGGTCCGCTTCGATCAAGAATGTTGTCGAGGTAGAAGAAGCACTTGAACCTGATTTTTAATTCGGAAGACAGCACAGCGTTGCTCGCCAAATGAGTTGCAAGTCAAATGAATTTTTCTGTGAACACAGATCATCATCATCATCTCAATTATATAGGTATAGCAGATCAATAATTGTAGCTAAGGTTGCTATACATTTGAAGCATTTAGTTTTTGTTTATATTTGTGATGGATTTGGTCAGATTCGATCGTCGTGATCTCAAAATATTGAATTAGAACTCACATGCTTCGATTAAGATGTGCGATATTGGTTGTCGGGCTGCAACGAGGCTTAATCGAGGTGGGTTGTTGTGAGATGTTGACATGAGATCCCTTGTAAGATTAATCATTGGTAAGACTATTGAACAATAAGAGGGCATCCTTTGCGTAAATAGAATGAATGCTTCCTTTTATTATCTCAGATGGTATTTATCATTTTCGGATGGTAAATCGATATTTTTGAAAATCGAAATCGATAATTCTGAAACCAACCTCAAACATATCTATAAATTTCATTAGGATCGACCAACTTAGCGTGTAGAGAGTGAGAGGTGCTCAAGATAATTATAGACGACTATAATACGAGGAAGGCCTACAACAATAAAAGTGGTGGTAAATATAGTTATAAACATTATTGGGGAGCGAGAAGAGGGGAAGGCATCGATGAAAGTCAAGATGATGGCAAAGAGAAACTATAAGACGAAAAGCTAAACGAGAAGGACTATGAGAAAGTAAAGTGGTAGAATGGTGAGAATTGGATGGCATCCAAGATTAAGCGAAGGAAGGAGGAAGAGAGCATAGCCATGGAGAAAGAGAGCATGTGACGAAAAATGAAGAGGAAGAGAGACTAGCATAATCTCGAGAGTGAAAAGAACAAGAAAGAGAAGAATAAAAGAGAGAAAAAAAAGTCATCTAAATTTGAACTAAGGCTACAAAATTCAAATATACCATATTAACCACTACACCAAAAACTTTGAGCCACCCCTTTTATCTTTTTCTTTTTTTTCAATTGATTCAAAATCAACGATTCTGATTCCCCTTTTTTTTTTTTCTTCAATTGATTCAAAATCAACGATTATGATTCCCTCTCTTGTTTTTTTTCAATTGATTCAAAATCAATGGTTCTCATATTCTACGGGAGGAATCATAACCAAACCTTCTTTCGATTTTGGTTTAGTTTAGAATTATGAAACTCTTTATTGATTTGACATTTGACTGGTTTATTGAGAAAAGATTAAATATAGAGTACTAACTCTATAGAAGCGATAAATAGTATAATCTTCTTCTCTTTTTTTTCCTTTTTATGTGAATTAAATAAAATATAATTTAACACAATCAAATTAGTGATAAAATACTAAGCAAATTATGAGATAAGATTTTTTAAGAAAAAAACTACTAGCAAACCAAATCAAGCCTCTTATTATAAAATAATATTATTACAAAGTTGTTGTGAACCAACTTGAAGATGTCAAATATCATATGAAAATGAGTTTCCAAAAATTAGAAAGAAAAATTGAACACAAAAAGAATCTTCAACATCTATACCGATCAATTCAAAGAGTATTATTATATTTAGATCAACATATCAAAAACTCATGGTAATCGTTGAATCTTTTCTCTTCTCAAATGAAAGCCTTTTTCTTGTTTTTGTTCTATGTGCGACAAGACAACAATTTGACCATTGAACTCTATCTGATTTCTCTCTTTCTGTCAAGCAAAAGGCAAGTATTCAAGGAACACATAGAAGCTCTATAATTGTGATCATCTATTTTATTTTTCTCATCTAACTCATATAAAATTAAAATTATTTTTTTTTAATTACTCAAGTCATGGTTGCACCACCAAACTTTGATTCCAGGTTTTAGTGATTGGTGTAAAATATCTATATCAATTATATATATATATGTATATAAACCATCAAACACCATATGAAAGAAATCATTGTTAGGGGATTGGTAGAAATCAATACTAAGGACATGCAAAGTCAGAGTACGTACCCATTGTTGACTGCCAAACAAAGAAACAAAAAAAAAAAAGGAGAGGTCATCAACTTGAAATTGAAATTAAAGTAGCACCAACTCTTTTGGACTTTTTTTGGCTCTTTAGACGACTATTTAGAACAGGAGATTATGCGTGCTTGAGTTCATGTCGCCATTCATATTTCTTTGGAGTGGTTGGAGTGCCATCTTAAATAGGGATGTGACGTATAATGTGAATGTTGGCATCTAAGACTAACAACTGATCGTTCCACAAATGTTCATTAATCATCGATGTCAATTACAAGAGTTTCCATGCAATACCGGACTTAGCTTTCAAGAATTCCTTCGTCCATTAAATAATGAAGACAAGTTCGAGCTTGCTCCGATGGCAAAGATTTGCATTCGATGATCTAATTCACCGAGATCGTCGGGCAGGTTAGATACAAAGATCAATCTCCTTCCTTTTGTGACGTTGATATGCTCTATATAGGTGTTGAGTGAGGTTTATGATTTGATATTAATCATATTAGAAAGAATGTTGAGATCTCTATATAGAGATCTCATATATTAGAGATAGTATGTTGACCCATACGAGTTAGTTGACGCTAGTTTATAGAGTATAAGCCATCCTTCCGAGGAGTCGACAGTGGCCGCATACGATCGATGTCTCGTCGTAGATATAAAAGTCAATTCTCTGACCAATGAGAGAGGACTTTGAACACCCAATTTTCTCTTATTCTATCTTAAGCTTTGGATGGGCCGAGTCGAGAAATCCTCTTCCCAACCTCGACTTGAGTGTAGGATTCCAGCGACGAAGCCCATAGCTCAACCCGACCTGATGCCCGCTTCTTTCACTCGAGCTTCTGCGTGAAGGTTCCCTAACAAATTCCATTACGTAAAAGTTCCCTAACAAATTCCATTGCATTGATTGATACGATAGACAATCAAATTGGATATTAATATCTTCATATCATCAGTATTTTTTATTATATTATTATTTTATCTAAAAGCTTAAGTTGAATAAAGCATGATTTATGATGTTATATTTTTAACAAAAAAAAATCAAAATTTAGAATCAAATACAATATCTATGATTTTATCTCAAATCTATTAAAATATATCTAAACAAGTTCAAGGCAACTAAAATACCCAAAAACTTATTTGATAGCAAAAAAAAAAGAATATATTCATTCTTTCTTTTCCATTGCAATTTTAAAGATCGAATAGGATATTAATGTGATAAATAGTAGTTTTGATTCTTGATTTCGGAACTACAAAACTTGTTTGAAAAAATCAATACAATATCTAGAAAAATGAACATCGAAAACCATAAGATTACAGCGTTTCATATCTCAATTAACCTTTTCTTTAATTAAATAAATTACATATATCCGTCACTCTGCGTCAGTTTTTATTAACGTAAAAATACTCCGCTGTTTCTTCTCACCCGAATAATCTACCTGGCATTTGATCGAAGGTGGCGACGGCTCGCGTGCGTGTCACTCATGGGGGCCCCACATGCCAGTCTCACCTGCAATTGTCACCGGCGTTGATTAATTCTATTAAAGTCTCTCTCTTAATAATTGAGCACAATATTAGAAGAAATTAATTTAAATGAAATTCTTCCTTTACCGATTACTTAAGCCCGATTTTAGTACCAATGATCCACATCGTCAATATCTTACGAACAGCAAACTTACGAAGTTATCTCTGCACGTTTGGAACGGGTATTGTCTTGGGTGTGGTTCTACGTGTCCAAAGAAATGCTGCTAGTTTAAACACCCTCGTCGGCTTCCTCTCTTTTTATACGTTGCCCTCTTTTGTTCGCTCAAGTCCATTTCAGATTTCCAACTCCTTTCCGGCGGGCGACGGTGACTTCGCTATGGCGTCGGCAAGAGAGGCGAACGTGTACATGGCGAAGCTGGCGGAGCAAGCGGAGCGGTACGAGGAGATGGTGGAGTTCATGGAGAAGGTCGCCGGCGCGGCGGCTGCGGGCGAGGAGCTCACGGTGGAGGAGCGCAACCTCCTCTCCGTCGCCTACAAGAACGTCATCGGCGCCCGCCGTGCCTCGTGGCGGATCGTCTCATCCATCGAGCAGAAGGAGGAGGGCCGCGGCAATCACGACCACGTCGACGCCATCCGCGCCTACCGTGGCCGGATCGAGGCCGAGCTGTCCTCCATCTGTGCTGGGATACTCCGCCTTCTCGAAGACCGGCTCATCCCTGCCGCTGCTGCTGCGGACTCCAAGGTCTTCTACCTCAAGATGAAGGGCGACTACCATCGCTACCTCGCCGAGTTCACGACCGGATCCGAACGCAAGGACGCTGCCGAGAACACCCTCGCTGCCTACAAGGCCGCTCAGGTTCCATTCGTTCTCCCTATGTCTCGGTCCCATCGATTTCATATTCTGTTGGAGCAAATTGGGGTAGATCTGCAGCGTAGATAACTTCATCAGCTAGCATTAGGGTTTGAAGCTTTGACTTGTATCAAGCCGATGAATTGATCTCGCAGGACATTTCGTTGGCGGAGTTGCCACCAACACATCCGATCAGGCTGGGGTTAGCATTGAACTTCTCAGTGTTCTACTATGAGATCTTGAATTCACCAGACAGAGCTTGCTCTCTTGCAAAGCAGGTGAGCCAATGAGGTCCTTTTTGCTTCTTATTTTTGTTGCATCAATAATTTTGACGCCTTAAGTGCATAAATTTGCATCACATAGATGGATTTGTTGCATTATCTTGTAGCTCTACTTTTGGGTTTTGATCTGCGGGGTTTGATTGGTTTCATGGTGGTCAAGTATGTAAAACATCTTGGAAATTCTTTGGGATTTGTGACAAGTTAATAGTTTTACTGCTTTCTAATATTTGTGTTCTTATTTCTGAAAGTCATAATAATTAAGAACATGATCTAATTGAGAATTTGAAAGAAAAAAAAATTATGATTGGTCACATTTACGAGATGAAAATTCAAGGATGCCTGATAGGCTGAGTGAGTAGATGATGTTTAAATTCACTTGCTTATCCATAGTTTTCCTGGTTGGGTTTGAAACCTTGTTGAATCGAGGAAGTATTCTTCATAGGTAGTTTAAGTTATTCCAAACTTCAAGCCGATATATCTGCTTGATCTTTTTTATTATCTCTTCCTTTCATAGTTTTTGTTCTGCCTTAATCAACAGATGCTATTACCGTCACATGTCATTCCTGGTCATCCAGGCACCTATAGAATAATGATCCATAATGTTTTCCTGGCAGTTTGCATTAATAAATCTTCTCCCTTCTCTTTCACAGTCATTGCCTGTATTAGCTTTTATTTTTCAGAACATGTCCCTTTTCTTAGCTCTTCATTTTCAGTGGCACCCTGCCCCATCCCCATTGGAATTTTACCATGTTGTACTCTAGCTTTGTTGTTGTTGAAGCTCTCTCCATCAAACTGGTCATTTATACCACACTTCCAACTCTCGTGGTACCTACAGAACAAGTTCATAAACTATGGCTTATTCTAAGGTGTGTTGCTCTTTCTTTTTTTCTCTGACTTTACTTATTTTCATGAGATGCATTTTCAGTTGGGACATTTTGACTTGTCGCTGGTGGTGTTTAGCATTTTTTTATAAGGTAAAACAGTATATTTTTCTCCTATTTTCAGCATTCTCTTTGGAGAATGGCTGTGTAAGGTCTTCCTAGTGTGAGTGTGTCAGTTTTTCGTGCATCTTATACTTTTTGTGTTAGCAGATGTCTATGTTTTGAGTTTGAATGAAACTTCTGACAAATTGGTCTCTTCATGTTATCTTTGACCCTGTTTCTCGTTCTGAGCTGATTGTTCTTCCATCTTTGTTGACAATTTTTGAAGGTAATCTTATTTTGAAATACAGAAGACTCCAATGATCACAATTTGTGTTTCAAACAATCGAGTGTTTCCTGTTTCCCCCTCTCACATTATTAAACATATGTAAAGGCCTAGATGATCAATTGCTATGCCTCTCATGGTCTCATGGTCCTTTGGGCATTGAATCTGTGTCATCATCTTTTAGGCTTTCGATGAAGCAATTGCAGAGCTAGATACTCTTGGAGAGGAATCGTACAAGGACAGCACTTTGATTATGCAGCTTCTACGTGACAACCTTACTTTGTGGACCTCAGATATGCAGGTTTTTTGTTTGCTTTCATGAACATTTCCCAAGTTCGTCTAAATGACATTTCATTTTCAGATTTGACCACATCACAAATAACATATTGCTACTTGTTTAATCGTAGGATGATGGCATGGATGAGATCAAAGAAGCAAGCAAGCTTGACGACGAGTAGTAGCTGAAAAGGATCGGCCATAGCTGCTGCTTGTGTTATTTTAAGGTGTTTCAGCTTGCAAATCGACTAGGTTTGTGGCACCTTGTGCTATTTTCTTTTTCTTTGTTTTCTTTTGCTCGGGGTTTTTTCTACATCCTTCTTGCTTCTGTTTCCTTTTTCCTGTTTCTTAGTTCTCGTTTGTCAGTATGTCTTGTTTGCTGCAGCTGTGTTTGCATTTGGGTAGTGCTTATAGACGGACAATGTTTGGGATTTAAGTTCCTTTATTTTATGGGACGACACCATGAGTACATTCTGTATGCAATGTCAAAACCCACTCTGGGTTTTCAGATCCATGAAACAGTCATGGATCTGTTCATGCCTTGTGTTGGTCATTTTGTTTTGCCACTTCTTGTGGGGTATGTTCATGCGGAATGTCTGCCATGTAGTGATGTAAAGAATGTTCCTTGTTCGTAAATCATGTTGCTTGCTTGCTGAAGAAGGTGATAGGTCAGTTTATCAGGTAAAATAAAATAAATGATGTTAAGAATGTTCCTCTAAAAAGGAGAGTCTCTCCCACAAACCTTGGCATTGTGGGATAACAACTCACATGATTCTGGACTCGAATATTGAAGAAACGAAATCATCGATGCCAATGTCTGGAAGGAGATGCTGTGCTAGAAATCCCACACTCTGGTGGAAGAAAGGCTGCATGGAGTAGAACCAGCAATAATACATGCATATACTTCACTTATTTTTTTTATCCATTTATTTCCCAACAGAATCATTTTGGAAGCATAATTGTATCATGTTCCGGCGAAGTAAAGAAAAGCTTGAATGCTTGTCATCATTGTCTTACCGTCTTTTGGGCGAAGTAATCCATATATATATATATATATATATATATATATATATATATATGCTCTAATGGTCCGTCATCGGAATTAAATTACAAGGGAATATATATATATACTTTTTTTTAATATTAGTCAAACATATATGTGCTGAGTTTAAATTCTGAGGGATATATTTGTAATTTTGCTAAGAAAACGAGAACAGAAACGAAGGAACGTTTGACCTCCAAGTGGATCATCAGTCGTTCAATCTGATCAAGCGGCACCGTCGATGGAGTAGAATAATCCGACGCATTGACGACTCGTTCCCCCTCGCTCGCACTCACGGCGTCTCTTCGGTCGCTCTCTCACTTTGTAATCTCCATACTTCGTCTTCGTGGATCCACTGACGACGTGTAGAATAAGACGACGCGGAGCCCGACGAAGCCGTCGCTTTATTAGATGCTCGACTTCAAAGCATGCCGCTTTAGACTGGTAGTCGTGGAAGAGCTCGCGCGATCCCGGAGGAACGCCCGCAAGTTTTGATTCCAGGTGTGATACGTACGCCCTCCCTTTAAGTCTTCGTTCCGATAAATGCTTTCCTCGATTCTCACATCCGGTATTTTGGATCTTTTCAAAAGGAGACACAGGTTTAGGGGGTCACGGCGTCTCGATTCCTTACAAGATGCCATTTTTGAATCTTTCGTTCCCGTGAAAGCGCCGGCTTTCTTTTTTGGTCTCCGTCCATGACGAGTTCATCATCTCGCACTCGCTTCTCGTTCGATTTCTACATCGTTCCTCTTTGAATTTTTCTGGTTCTGTTTCTTTCTTCTAGATGAGCGATTAATTTGCCTCTTGGATGTTGCCCGACAAGACCCGGTACCCTAAAGTCCTCACTTTTCCCCCTGTTTTTGACCGATTGCTCTGGTTTTGAGACCATTTTAGTTGGCTTCGAGTTTCTTTGGATCATTTCTCATCAAGCCCCTATTTCTTGATTCCTTTCTGAGATTTGAACTCTTTTAGTTTGCTTCCGAGTCCTGGATTTCTGAAAGTTCCACCTTTCTCCCTGAAGACTGGTTTCTACTTTTTTTTTTTAGAAGATTGGAGAGGAGAGAAAAGAAAGGAGACAAAGTTAAAATCTTGAGAAGAAACAGAGAAAACGATCTGTTATCTTTTCCAATCCTGGTTTCTTTGTGATAGAGGAAGTTCAAGAGGAGTTTTATGTGATTCTTGTATTGCCCTCAGTCTGTTCTTTATCTGATCAAGTCAAGAACTGGAATTCTTATCTTCTTATCTATTTCCTCCTCCTCCTCCTCTCCCCTCTCTCCTCTCTCCCCTCGCCTCTCTCTAAATATAACCTTTTTGGTCTTTTTCGATGTGTACTAGTTTGTGACACCATCTGCGTTGAGGTCTGCCTCCACCAAGATGGCACATAAGAACTCTCCTTTAAGTCCTAGCGGAAAAGGTATGCGATCCAAGTCAACCAAGGGCTCGCCTTCCTCGTTGGATTCTTCGGATTCAAGATCGCTGAAGATTATGCCCTCCACCAAGATGGCACCGTCGCCTGAGGTAAATTTCCTGTTTCATTATAAGTTGTTGTCTCTGAATGTAATCTTTCTTCTTGTTTTGATGTTTGGTTTCTTCCAGAAACAAAATGCACGAGTTTCTGATGTGCAACAACAGTTAAGAAAGCTTCGGGAAGAGCTGAACAAGGAGAAAGAGGAGAAGTCCCGAGCAATCGAAGAGCTCACTGATATGAAAAGAAATGTTGCTTCTCAAAGAAATGGAGGTGAAAACAAGTTGAAGATCGAAGTTTTAGAGAAAGAAGTACAGAAAGCAAAGGAATCGGAAAGAAAACTGCTCGAATCGCTTGTGTCTCAGACGAAACTGCTTGAGCAGACAAAGATATCTCTTGAAGAAGCCAAACTCGAGAACAGGTCCCTCCGACAGAGCAACCGAAGCTTGGAGAGTTCTGTAAACCTAGGTAGTCGAAGCAGTAGGAAGTCAGAGAAGCATTTGTTGGGGAATGATCCTTTGCCTATGATTCATGCAGAAGAGGAGATGACGGTGCTAAAAAATGAGCTCAAGTTAGCCACAGAAGCAGAAGAGAAAAGCAAGATAGCCATGGATGGTTTAGCAATCGCCCTGAAAGAAGTAACAACTGAGAACAATCACCTCAAGAGAACACTCAGCGTAGCCCAATCCGAGTTAGAAAAAGTACGAGCAGAAGCAGAGCAATTGAAGTCTTTGCTAAGGAGCATGGAGGAAAAGTTTCAAGCAGCATCAGCAGAATCCGAGAGACTGCAGTTTGAGCTTGAGGAATCTGTTGCTGCTTGGAATGAGAAAGAGAGTAGCTTCATAAACTGTGTTAAGATGTCTGAAGATGAGATCACCAATGCAAAGGCAGAGAACGATAAGTTGTTCGAATCACAAAGAGTGGTCAGGGAAGAGAATGCCAATTTGAGGGACATACTAAAGCATGCTGTGAATGAAGCAAGCATTGTCAAAGAATCCCTAGAGATTGCCAGGAAAGAGAATTCTCAGCTAAAGGATCTGTTAGCTGAGAAGGAAAGTTACTTGCAGAGCTTAAAGCAAGAATATGAGTGCCTCAAGGTGAGTGAAGCTGCAGCCACCGATAGTGTTCAGGGGTTGAAGAGCTTGTTTGCTGCAACATCTACAATGGACTCGAGTATGTTAGTCTCTTCAATTGAGAATGAATCGATCATGGTAAGTGACAGTAAAGCCAGTAAATTTTCATCGGAACGTTGGAGTAATGGTAATCCACGGATTCAAAAGGGGCGTAGGCATTCGATCGCAGAACCAGGAACTGTGTATGTAGAAGGAGGCTCACCAGAGCAGAATGGTGTGATATGTGCATCACTTAGTAATGTGTCTGACCTCAGGGATGCTTCCTCCATTGTGGCCTACGATGAGGAAACACTGATCTCTGCTGGTTTCAATCACACAGATGCAAAGCTGAAAAAGAAAAAGACAATTCTTAGGAGATTTGGAGATATGCTGAGACGAAAACACTCTTACAAACAGAACTCATCATCTCTTTGATTTTAATTACATGATAAAAGTAACAACAGCACTGCAGCATGATTTGGCACTTTGTGACTGATAGATACGTTGATTTGAATGAACAATTCTGCGTCAAGATACAGTTGGAAACTGCTACGAAACTTTTGTTGCAGATAAAAACATGGTCAAGAACATTATTGTGGTGTTGGTTTGTAGTTAGCTATACTCCATAGATTTTGATATATAAGTTTACGACAGATATCAAACATTATTGTTGTCGAGGGTACTATTCTCAAGTTTTCGAGGACAAGCATTTACAAAACTCACCATCCTTAATAATTTTGGTGAGTTTGCCTGTGATGTTTTGTTTGAGTTATTCTTTTACTGCAAAGATCTTATGTGTTCCCAAATCTTTCGGCTTTATCACAAAGAAATACTTCATGGTTGATTCGTTGTTTGAGACTCTTATCTTGTCTGAAACCTATAGCATCTGTATTTGTAGTAGTAAAAGAACAAATGAATGACTGTAGCCAACGATTAATGTAAGGTGAGATTCCACGTACAACAATGGTGGTAGCAGAAGAGGTTTCTTCTACAGTAGAGTATTACACCATGGATCATTCAGGAACTAGTTGTCTAAGCACGATTTAGTTCATTACACTCTTCTAAACATGAAACAAAAAACAACTCTTCATGGATGGCTGTTACAATGTGAACAACTTTCAGCTGTATCCACTGTTTTACAGCAATAATAAGATGTTACAGTGCCAAAAATTAACACGACAACACGATTCACCAGGCTTACAATCCCTAAAGGAATCTAGAATAACCTGCAACCTCATGCATTTCCAGATTTTTTTTTCCCTGGCTGATCCACTCAACATGATGTCCACAAGAAAAAAGTTGGCGATCCCGCGTATCAACAAAAAACAATCGATAAATTGTTGGGTGCTATTTACTATGTTTCTATCTACAGATGATTATACAGTATTCTTCTTAATCACCTGCTCTGAACAGAGTCCTCGATGGCATCTAGAAAGTGAAAATGGTTCGAGACACCTAATCTTTCTGCAAGATGATGGATATGGATCTGTGTTACAGCAGATTCCGGAGAGAGAGACTTGGGAAGTTTAGGGACACATTCAGGTAGGTGCACGGCACTGTCTGATGGAGAACAAAAGAGAGAAAGCACGGTTCGGCAGAATATAAACCTGGTCAGAAAATGACAAGAGAGCATAATAAAAACCCCAAGGTATACTCAAGAGTTCAGATGAGCAAAGCAATACAGGACCTTTAAACAAATATCATCAACCATATGCAAATTAGCAATGGTCTTCTGCTCAGTGTATATAGCGAATCTCCCTTTTCCATATTATCAAATCCAGAATCATGCTATCCGTCATGCTATTCTTTTATATTTTATGATGCAAGCAATTCATCCTGATGGTTGTTTCCTCAGAAATTTAATGTGTGCCATGCAATTACTAGCCCCCTCCAGTTGTGGGTGTCCCTAACTTTAAAGCCATTGGTGTAACAATGAAAGGAAGGCTACAATCTGTATCAGTAGTCCCCCATATATTAGACGTCTACGTGAACAGAACTATAGATGGAAGTTGTGTGACATAAACTCACAAAAAAATGCCATAAATATTTGATAATGCAAGCTCTGATAATTTTCATTTCATACCCCATATCCTTTGTTGACCATAGCTCAAGAATATTTGTTTAACAATTTAACAAAGAAAGAATATCTTATATCACATTAAGCTGGTCCACTGTACTGTGAAGTATGAAGAGATGCTTAACTTTTGCTAACTCAGGTATTAATTTCTTTGGTGCAAAAAGATTGTTAATTATTTAAATTTTGACAGTAAGAGGTTCTCTGTCTCATGAAGAATGGCTAAAGATAGAAAAAATACTTTACCTTAGAATCAGCCGTCGTAGAAATGGATCAGTTAACACCTGAGCCCATACCCGATCAAGGGACTTAGATGTACAGAGTGTAACTTCCCATTCAGCTAAAGCAGAAGAAAGCAGACTCTCAGCGTTGCTGTATATATCCTGAAAATGCATATAAGCACGTCAGATGTGAAACCTTCAGATAGATATATCATGAAGCATCAAGGCAACTTACAGCTTCTACATCAGGAGAAAGGCCTACTAACTGGCAAAAGGCCTGTAATGGGGCAGTTAGGAAATATGTAAATTGGCTTCCACTAGATGTTAGATCAGTCTCAGATACCGACAATGGTTTCTCATGTGAAAGAAGCAAGGCAGATGCTTCTCCTCTTTCTGCACCATGTATAGTCTGCACATTTGACAAGAAGCAAACAAGAGATGAGCCCAGGAAGAACGTGAAGGAAATGTGACCTATAATTTCTTTTAGCAAATTAGTGGACTAGGCTGATATGCTAAAGGATGAGTGACCCAGTGGATGAGATTCCCACCTATGCTAGATCCAAGAAGGATCAATGTATAAAGCCTTATCTTTGCAAATAAGGGGGGTTGTATTTTGTGTCATTACTATGGGACCAAGGGTCTTCCTCACTTACATCCCAAAGAATCACTAAAGAAAAAGAAAATAGTACAAGAAGCAAAAAAAATTAAAGACAAAGATACATTTTTAATATGCACACATGACACTCCAGGCTAGGCTCGAGATATTTCACTTATTCAATATATAAAATTATTGAACAATCTTATCATATATAAAATTAGTACGAGATAATTTTATCTGTGACCTAATTTATGTTTGATACTTGAAAAAAAAATTACAAATATGGTTTAGTACTTTTCATGGCTTAATATGACACTATTTTAATTAAAACTGGTATCATTTTGTAAGTACATAGGCTTTCTTCCTATAAATTCGGTATTCAGACCTGTCATGTGAAATGGTCTAATCTACGATGGCAGCTGACAGCTGCAAACAAGTTCCCCAACTGTTGTTTAGTTCGTGTTGCCATTACTTGGCCTTTAAATTGGTTCCTAGATGTGAATGCCAATAGATATGTCAAAAGCATATACGAGTCCTCTATTCTAATATGTGCGTGATAATGTAAGCACCAATATCAAAACATACTATCTATTTTGATATGCTCAAATGAATTTTCCAATAAAGTTACATTATCCGAGTCCAATCTTTTTTTGACATGAACTGAACTTAAAAAAACTTTTTTAATGACAGAAAGTTATCATCAAACATTGCATGTGAATCTCTTATCTGTCTTAGTGTTTTTGTATGTATCACTGATTAGAAAGTCCAGAACAAGCTTTAACAAACTTGCCTTGAATGCTCGGCTACTATCACTGTCAATAATAAGAAAAAGTGGCTTTCGTGTAAATGGAACCAAATCGTCAGGATAGAGGTTGTTAGAACCTGATATAAGGAAACAAAGTTAAAAGTATACACCCACACATGCATCCAAAATAAATGAACTTCTAAGCCTGTGTAGTTCCAATAATAGTAAATATTTATCTGAGACAAAAGTTAGCTCCAGCACCTTGAGCACCGAGGCATAAATAACTCCCGGGATTTGTACTTGAGTATAGCTTATCATCAGTGGCAGGTTGAGACGGTGAGCTGTCCCTTTTCCAAGAAGCCTGTGGAGCATGATTTGCTTTTGAGGAGTTTGTTGACTTTCCATTAACATTTTTGTGAGAAGCAACACTACAATCTGTCTTTCCTGCACATTTTTCACTTGGAGTTATAAAATGGGATGGTCTCGGCAAACAGACAACGAACATAATAGCAGAAGCACAAGAGAGACCTGAAGCTGATATATAGATCAGCAAAATGCTGTCTGAAGACAACTCTTCACATATTGTAGCAGTTACCTGCAAAGTTACTCCATCAAAAATCCTTGACATTCAACTAATTTGTAGAAAACAGAACTTTAGAACAGAGCATTGGTTGTGATATGGGTAAATGACTTGATATACTCAGCAGATACAAATAGAAATGCAATTATAATTGAAAGTCATGAAACAGATGCAAGTAATAATTTAATAAACCAAAACCCTTCAGTCAGGCTACCAACATAACCACCTCCCCACTTCTCCCTTGACTTAGAGCATCTATGCATACAACCATATATGCACTTTGATTTATCTGAAATCCATTGTTCATCCAGCGAAAACTGGTATGACATACAAGGAAAAATGGCATCACAAAGAACACCAGAATACAAGAGAAATTAAATGGCAAAGTGACAAGTCTTGAAATGTGAAAATTGTACTATTGTTATATAGTTCCAAATTTCCAATCTGGAAATTAGTATATGTGAAGACTGGAAAACGTGTTATTTGTCACAAAAACATTAATACATCAAAAGGTTCACCATACCGCAGTATATCGCTCAGTATGGGCGGCATGTACCAGTCCAACAGGGGTCTGGTACAAGCAGTATATCAGTGCATCTCCATGTACCATGTGTTAGTATGCTCAATATGGCTCGGTACGTACTATACTAACAGCTAGTCGGTACACCAATACGGAATGGTAAGACAAACCATGCATCATATCTGAAAAAAATAAGCTAATAATTATAGCACCCTTAACAGTTAACACTGACATAAAGCAATTGGCATTCTGAAGTAAATGTTATCTGAAAGACAAATGAATGTAATAGATGTGGAACAGAAAATGAAAACTACAACACCCTTAATACTCACCGCAAGAAATTGTGAGACAGAAGGGTGATAAATAACTGCTTTACGTGGGTTTGGAGGCAGATCTGGATCCATCAGATCAGCAGCAAGGTTTATGTCAATCAATCCAGAGGCTCCACTCTGGTCACTGAAAGCACCATTTTCGTATGGTTCTTTTCTAAAAAGTTGGTAGGAGGATCCACTGGGTTCCCATTCCAAACACTGTACCATTCTGTAAGTGTCGAGGCTAAGTTCTGCAAACTTGATCTGAAAGCATGGGCAAGGTAGCTTACACTCATAAGTAACAAAGTTCTAAAGATCCACAAGTACTTAGCATTAAAATGGAAGATTTAGTTGTTGACCCCAATAAATAATTATAAGAATATGTTCACTAAATTGGCGAGTGAACACTTATTCTTCTACTGAAGCATAAAAATCAACAAACCTCATTCCGGCGATAGCTTGCCAGCAAAGCATCTCGGAGTCTCAACACTCTATTAGCATGAAATCGTGCAATATAGGGGAAGGAAGATGGATGAGCATCAAACAAGACATTGTATCTCAAGGGCCTGGAAATTTTAGAAGATACATCAGCTTTTAAAAACCTGGAAATTTCTTGCGCTACTTGCTTCCATTCCTTAAAGTTAGTCGCCTGAGAAATTTTTTAAAAAAAGTCACTCGAATACTTTGCAGGCAAATGAATGCTATCACTAAATAAACAAAAGGAGCAACTCAAAATTAAATTAAATGGCTGATATCTTGTACAATTTGAATCAAGAACATTATTTAATACATCAACATGTAAAGCCATATGTACTAATGTTCCATTTTCATCATTTTCAAAGAAAAGAAAGCCTCAAACGTCCATCGTTTGGAAGAACGTGCATTTAAGTAGGTTTGGCACCAAGAACATTACGCTTCTTTCATAAAATGAGCATGTCCAGTTTTTTTGTGCGAAGATTGTCATCATACCATTTCTTTAACATATAAAGTTCAGCATGCACTGTACGAACCATAACCATGGATAAAATTTGCATATACATTCAGCTAAGTCACATCCAAGCTTTTGGTTTTAAATTCCGCACTGAGATGTAACAAACGGTATTCTTGTGTGGAACTATTTCTCCCTCACTAAAGAAGACAGGAGGAGATATTTGTCCCAAAAGCATTACCACAGTATACAAAATGAGAGATGAAAATTCAAATTGATCTTCAAAGTTCCCCAGAAAGATGCCAACGGGAACTCAATGGTAAGTTTGCATATCCCTGCATTAATGTCTAATTAAGGAGTAAATTATCCATTTCTTGCTCATGTTTTCGAGAAAATAACACCTCTTCTTCATAATTCGTCCGGGCATGAAACCACAAACCTCAAGAACATCTTTTAGTAATTTAAATCAATGATTGTAATTTCGTACCGTACCAGAGTTTCGATCTCAGCTTGGTACAGTACAGTATGAGCATACCGAGCGGTATGCTTTAGCATATCGCTCGATATATATACATACATATATATATACATACATATATATATATATATAAATACATACATATATGAGTTAAAAAAAATAAAAGAAAGAGGCAACGTTGTTGAGCGCCTCGTTTCTTCTCCCCGCGTGGGGAATGATTTCTTCTCTCCGCACGGATGAGGAGAAGTTGCTGACGACGTCGAGGCCTCGTCGCCTCAGACGAGGAGGAGGCGACATCTCATTTGCAGCGTCCGATGAGTGAGTGTAGCGATGGATCGGGATCGTTGAGAGAGAGCGGCACCGGATCTCCAAGTTCTCCCTTTTCTTCTCCCTCTTCTTCCTTCTCCCTTGGCTAATACCGCCCACTATGGTAATGGGGCAGAAACAACCTAAATCGATGGTACCGCCCGATAGCAGGCGATCCCCATACCGATTTGCTGGCAGACCGGTACCTACCGCTCAGTACGAGCGGTATCATTCAAAATTAAAATCCTTGATTTAAATTAGCTTCCACAACAAAAGAAAAAAAGAAAAGAAAATGAAACCATTCAGCAACTACAGAGCCAAAAATTCTCCCTACAAAAAGAAACTCAAATACAATAGGTCGGCCGCACCAATGACAAACATAATCAGCCAAGGTTGGATCATCTTGATTTCCTATATTTTCTTTTATTTATTACACATTGATGAATATACATACTACACAGCACTGTCTGAAAGAGGCAATTTTCCATTTGGAAAATCAAGGAGAAATTTTCCATTTGGAAAAAAAAAAATCAAATACTGTCTGAAAAGGCACCACAAAGTCAAATTTCAGAGACGGGGGAGCTGAAGGCACTGGATTATCAGCTGATATGATTTAATCAACTGGACAATTCAATACAAACACTTGGTTGTTTCTCTACCAACACTGAAGATTGCTCACTACAATTTTTTTTCATAATTCCTTAGTCATTTGTACTGGTCCATTGAAGAAAAAAATTTAAGTTTCTCGTGCGCCCATAAATTGTAAATTTGGAAGCAAAATTCAACAGTTACACACATGGAGAGCAGAAAGAACAGTAGAAAGAATTAATCTTTAGAGTACCGGGAAGGCGGCCTTTGACTCCTCCACCAGAGCCCTAAACCGGTCAGCGAGCTGCCTCACCTCATCAGTCCGATTCAGCAACAATGCCACGATGAAGAACCGCGCTTGGAACCTCAGCTCCTTGTACCTCAGCTTGAGATCAGGCGCCGCAGACGCCCTCGCCGCCTCGAAGTACCCCCTACTCACGATCGCCTCGTAGAAGACGTAGGCCTCGAGGAGGAAGCGGACCTCACTGGTCCGCTGGTACTGGCCGTAGTAGAGCTGCCCGATCCGGGAGGCGATGTCACCAATCTCCCAGCGGCGGAGGCCTCCAGCGACGAGCTCGCGCCGTCGCTGCTGCTGAAACTGCCAGAGCCGGGTGTAGGCCTTGAAGGCCTTGCGGCAGTGGAGGAGGTGGAGGGCCCCGCGGGCGGTAGGCGGGAGGTCGCGGACGCGGGCGAACTTCCGGTCGGCGACCTCCACCAGCGAGTGGAACCGGTCGAGGACCTCGGAGGCCGCCTCTCCCCTCTCTTCGTCCGCCATGACGGCGACTTGGGGAGGAAGAAGAAGAAAGCCTTCTCGTGCAGTCCTTCGTAGAGGCGTTATGAAAGAGGGGCGTCATAAAAAGACTGCAGATGAGGAAAGAGAAAACCCTGTTCCGGTGCCCCGCGATTCGTTGTAAACTAAGTAGGACAGCGTCCCGGACCCACATGCGGGCCCACTATTTGCCCCAGCAACCAATTAGGTGCTCACACGAGCCATTTTTGTGTAATAGGGAGCTTTTGTGTGTCAATTAGACCAAAGCATCCGTTGAACAACAAATGCTTTATCACCTGTCTCACTTACTCGTCTCATAAAAAGGAAGAATAAACCATGGGACCCACCTCTTGGGCCCTGCCTTGTCTAATTGTCAATCGGGTAAGGGAGGGGGTGCAATTCGACGCTACCTCAGTTAATCGATGGTTGCGATAAACTAACGGAGTCCAAAGGCATTACAGAAATGCAATCATAGAATTCAGTTTCCGAATTAAGTACACGATTACTGTGCAGATGCAATCATCGGACTTTCATCTCATTTAATTAAGTGCATAATCATGTCTCTGCTTTGTTAATGAGAAATAAATTGTTAATTGGTGTTACATAATCAACAAATTTAAAGCTTCTGGGATTGCTTGAGCGATTCATATGGTTGCCAGCTACAATCCACGTACGCACATGAAATGAGAGCTTGTCATTAATACTAATCAATGATTGTTTAGAAAAGCCAAACAATTCCTTTCATTGTGATGGTACATAATTGACCCAAATAATTAAGAACTCAGCTTACAAATGGCATCGAACCAACGCATGGGAAAGCTTGCAATTAATTTCACTGCATCATGAAGATGATCGAGATGAACTGCTTCTTCTCCACCTGTCGGTGCCCTGAAATATTAGCCGATCCTATAAAAGAGAGGGGAAATGGATAATATACAAGTTCATCATTTACATATGTAGTTTATGACTTGGCCTGTAGGCGTAAGAAAGAACCGCTGGGGAAATGGAAGATTGCAGCATATGGACGGTGAGATGCTTCCAACGGAGAGGACATCTTTATCGGAGTCGGTGATGATTCGGAATCTTCTTCGCTTCACTCACCTTTTTACCTTTGACTTGGGTCTCAGTATCTTGCCTCCCCACTCTCATCTCGTACGTATACTTTGCCGGTCGATTTCTTCTTCTTCTCCTACATCCGACGCCGTCGTCGTGAACATGAAACCGGAGCGAGGAAGACGATGGCCCGGGGATTGTCGGGTTGGATCCGCCTATGACCCGAATCCGAGTTCGATAAAGGAGCGTGGGATCTCTGTCGCGAGTCAACTCGGATGTGAAGCAGATGATGCAGTCATTAGCCAAGCTCAACTCTGCACTCCCCTCAATTTTAGGCAAGTTTGTGTGTCAATCACATCAGGTTGCAGCTGTCAAATCATGGATTCAGGACCTTTTGTATGGATTCATCATTTGGTCCTCTATACATGTATATATGTACATATGCAACGTTGTCATCAAAATAAAGAAGGAAAAGCTCCATCTGATGAGGATCTGACGGCAATGATGAAGGGAATAAAACAACTGACAGCTTTAACGCCTGCCCCGCTGCTTTACTCCATGCCTGGGTTGGCAAGGACAGGCCAACAGGGAGGGGCCTTAGGTGGTTCCAGCGGATCAACACGAGTATTGCTCTGGTTTTCTCCTTGAAACCAAATGTGTTTCATCCAAATATGATAAGGAGCATGTAGAAGAGACTACAGGATAAAAAATCCTATGAATTTTCTTCGTATTATGATGTGTTTGCAGGTCAATTGCACGTGAAGAGAGAAACAGAGATCAAAAGAAATCTCGAGCGATTAGCTGATTGCTCAAAGGAAAGGCATGTCATTTGCTATGATTCTTCATGGATCCAAACATGGGTTTACTTTGGAAAAGGATGGATGTATCGATTGAGTTAGTGGATGACAGTGGAGTGGAGCGAACACACCGCAAAAGTGCCGGAGACACAGGATGTCTCTGCAAAACGCAGCAAAAGCAGACCTCGCCACCCGATAAAAGAGGGGGCTTTGGGACCTCGAGAAGCTTCGATCTCCCATGGCTCCTTTGGCAAGTCAAAAGATGATGAAAGAGATCGATAGAAATAATAAAAGATAAGAACAATAGAATATAAGAAGCTTTATTGAAGTAGAGAAACTTTAGCTTGAATACATAGAGAAATAGAGAGAGGATTTTCCTCAACAGAATAGAGAGATTTTCTCATATAGTTGGGGAAATCTTATCTTTTATCATACCCCTGGTGCTCCTGTCAAGGATACCAATCTTGGATCGATGCAAAGAATGATTTGAGCTAGAGTCTTCGTTGTTGTTGCTGTTATTGCAACTGCGACGGCGACGACTGTAGTAGAGAAGAAAGTTACAATAATAGAAAAAGTTATAGCAATGCTGTAGCAGATGAATAAGGGTGAGCATAGCACTAGAGACACTATAGCGGAAGGGAAAGCAGTAATAGAAGCAACAGATGATGAGTCGACAGTGAGAAGAGAGCTTGCTCTAGGCAAGTGGCTGCTGAGAGCTTGCTCTAAGCAAGTGGCTCTGATACCATGATAGAAATAATAGAAGATAAGAACAATAGAATATAAGAAGCTTTATTGAAGTAGAGAAACTTTAGCTTGAATGGGGAAATCTTATCTTTTATCAGATATCACATCAAAGCGAATCATGGCCGCGAATCATGGCCGTGGAAGCGGCTCAGCTCCGGTGGACTTGTCGCCGGTGAGCGTGGGTGATGTGTAGGCTCACACTTCGTCCAATGAAAGACGCAATAACATGAGATGGAGAATTTGAAGGATAATTCAACCCTGCTAATATAACTTTTACAAGTTCTAATGGCAATTCTACGTGTGAAAAATCTCAACCTAACCCTTACCAAACAAATCTTATAGAAGAAAAATCAAACTTGTACGATAGTGAAGAAATTAAAATCAATGAGTTGGGACCATTGATTCTTCTAAGAAACTCACTTGATGTGGACTGAATTGAATTCGACCACAAGCGGGTTTCCTGGAAGCTCTCTGTTGCCACCTCTGCTTGATTGTATTCATCGATGAGGTTGACCGGTGGGTCAATTCCAGCTGGGGTCTGCAGCGTCCCATACATAGCTGGTTTATCGTCAGCTAATGTACGGTGGTAGCTCATCACATAAATTTGGGAGCTTATTTTGGTTATTATTAATTGTCACCATCGTCCTTTCATTTGGTTCATAATGCTCTGTTCCAGTGTTGATTGGCCTGTATGTATCTCTTGCTTTCTTCTGTTTGTAACCAAAGAAACACTCTCTCTTGTTGATATGTGTATGTACAATGAATTAAGGAACAGTTCTCAGGAAACATGAACTCAAACTACCACCACGAGACAAAAGAATCGAATGCTTCTGCTAGGCGAACAAGACCAACTTGGGAGAAGGCTTCTCCTTGAAGGTGTGGGAGTGCAGCAAGGCGCCACCAGCCATTCTTTTCTTCTGTCTCCCGTTCGACCCGCTCAGCAGCTTCGACCAAAACCTCGATTTCTTCTTCTTCGTCTTCTCCTTCTCTTTCCCTTTATGATCCGCCATTATCTTCTTCTCTTTCTCGTTCTCTTCGTGGCTTCGGACGACGAAGACCAGGGACAGGCTCTTGGTCAACTTACCTCCTCGCGCTGCGACACGTGGTTCGGGAAGAAGCCATCCCTTGGGTCTCTTCACGTCGCAGTGGTGCGGGGGAGTGGAAGCATAAGAAGAGAGGTCAGAGTCGGAAGTGCTGTAGGGCGATGAAGAGGCCGAGGAAGAAGAAAGATAGACAGCGGAGGAGGAGGAGGAGGGGTGGGTGAGGTGAGAGAGCCTCTCGCGGAGGCAGAAGGGGCAGACTCCGACCGACTGCCGGTGCTTCGGATGCCGCTTGCATCGGCTTTCGTCTTTCGCCGGCCTCCCCATTCCTCTTCTCTCCGATCCAACAAAGGCTATATTTGTGGCACTTCTACTGCATTGCATTGCATGGGGGTGAAGAGGGGGGGAAATATATATATAGAGAGGAGGGGAGGTTGGAGACTTTCTTGGATACTTCTTTGACTTGGACAAGTTGACGTGGGTTGGGGTTGGTCCGGCGTTAGCTTCGGCCGTGGTTTGGTGTGGGTGACTAGATTGGACTTTTCTGAGGCCCGCCCGCCCGGCCGCCCGCCCGCAGGAATTCCACGTCGGTGAGCGGCACAAAAGCTGGCGTCTTAATCGCCAAAGTTCGTCGGTGGGGACTCGAGAGAAAAGCTGCACCAGACGTTGAATCACCGTTAAGAGTTAATACTTAATCATTTCTAACACGACTAAGCTAATAAAACGATAATATAGATTAAATGGGTTATAAGGCACATATACCGGTATGATTAATCTTGGCCCATGTTAGAGTTTGAGTTTATCACAAGATGTTAGAAATTGATTTAATTTGATAAAAAATCTTATAAAAAATTACATCGTCGACATGCGAAAATTTGAAATTTTATGGATTTTAGTGAAAAACCATATTACTTACAAAATTGATAAATATTAATTAGATATTATCCCTTATAGTTAATTTCATTTAGTATTAAGGTTTCTATGTTTTAAAAAGTTTGAAAGCGAAATATTTAGATCTATTTATCATAAGATCGTCGGTTTTACTAATAGAAATATAAAGATTTTTTTTTTTAAACCTCCTCGTTGATACTGATTGATTGACGTTGATGATATTAAAGGTTAAGTGTGACTATTATGAATGAGAGTGATAAGAATAGATAAGGGTCACTCTACATCTAGCATTTTTCATTACTCCGTATTTATGTCGACGTTGACGTAGTTATAGAGTGGCACCGCTTTGTAATTATATCGGTATTGACGTAGATACAAAAGGATATTCACCTCTCGTTATCATTTATTTCATCCATAACAATCATCCATGACCACTAACAACTTCGTTATTTATTACTATCAATTGGAACATTA